GTAGTTTTAGGAATAAGCGTTCTTTTAGATAGAATAGGTGCAGTTTTAGGATTAAGTGTTGTTCTCTTAGGTAGAATAGGCGTAGTTTTAGGTAGAAGAGTTGTATTTTTGAGAAGAACGGCTGTTCTTTGTCGTTTATTTTGTTTATTTTTTGTTGTTTTGTAAATACATTTCTTGACGTTCTCCTGACCCAGTCTCTCTTTGTATTCACTGCGATCACACGTGGCTTTGGCAGACAAGTGGTTTCCAGTTGCTCTGAGCTCCCAGGGCTGGAGGGGCCATGGGGGCTGGCGCTGGGTGCTGGGGCACCCCAAGTGTCCTCACGTGGGCTCCCTGCCCTGGCAGAGCGGCTCTTTCAGGCTCTCTGCAGCTGTGGGCAGGGATGGGCACGGGGCAGGTACCAGAGGTGAGGGTGCTCACACCGACTACTTGGTGGCTGCAGGACACCTGGTCTGGTGCTGCCATCGGGCACAGCCTGTGCCAGCGCTGACCAAAGCTTCTCGGGCTGCTCCTCAAGCCGGGGGAAACACAGCCACGTACAAGGCATCAGTCATGGAATCCCAGAATCACAGCGTGCCCAGGCTTGTGTCACTGCGGGGAGCAGCCTGCGCCCGGCATCCTCTTGGATGCTGCTGCTGCCCAAACCAAGCCTTTTCCCCCCTTCCGTCCCTTTCTCCCACTGAGTCCCTCGGTCCCCATCCTGCACGCTGGGAAGAGGGTCTGGGGCTGGAGCTACTTTGGGATACCAGTTGTTGGCAGCTGCAACTGGAGCCATGGTCACCCGCTGCTGCTGTCATGTGGAACCCTGCAAGTGGGCAGGTGTAATGTGTGGGATTTGTTCATCAAGAAGTTTAAAGGGAAAGAAACTCTCTGTAATCATCACTGTGCGGAACCATATTCTTTTTTGTTTTGTAACTATTGTACTTCGTGAGTTATAAAGGGGAAGTCAGTTGTATTATGACACAAGATTATGAAAAGGAAAAGGGGGGGTTAGGTAGTTCAAAGTTATATCTTGTTGCAACATCTAAGGGATGGAGGTTGCGATAATAGTGAGGCTGGTAACGGACGCCTCTCGAGACCTCTGGAAACTTCTCGAAACTTCTCGACGGTGAGGCCCCAGCAACAAAGGGGAAGCAATGGAAAAGAGCCACGTCAACATCTGAGAGAAAAGAAGCAACAGGATTGGCTGAAGCCTTGAACCGAGAGGTGTAAAAGACAACCTCCCAGAGACCCTGTGTGCGTCTTGGGTGGAGCGGAGGACTCCCCGGCGCACCCAGCACTGTTTTTTTTTATCTGCTATTGCTTGCTCAATTTAATAAAATTTAAGTTTTAAAACGAGATTGGCTCTCTCATTGATAACACAGGGAGGGGGAGCGGCCAGCAGGAGAGTGGCAGCTGGGTGCAGGGGGAGCTGCTGCGTGCATGAGGTGTGCGTGCAAATGCAGACGGGGACGTGCGAGTTAGAATCATAGAATAGAATCCTAGAATAGTTAGGGTTGGAAAGGACCTTACCATCCTCCACTTCCAACCCCCCCTGCCATGGGCAGGGAAACATCCCACTAAACCCTGCCACCAAGGCTCCGTCCAACCTGGCCTTGAACACCGCCAGGGATGGAGCATTCACAGCATCCCTGGGCAACCCATTCCAGGGCCTCACCACCCTCACAGTAAAGAACTTCCTCCTTATATGCAATCTAAACTTCCCCTGTTTAACTTTGAACCCATTACCCCTTGTCCTAGCACTATAGTCCCTAGTGAAGAGTCCCTCTCCATCAGCCCTAGAGCCCCCCTTCAGATACTGGAAGGCTGCTATGAGGTCTCCACGCAGCCTTCTCTTCCCCAGCCCCAACTTTCTCAGCCTAGCTTCATAAGGGAGGTGCTCCAGTCCCCTGATCATCCTCGTGGCCTCCTCTGGACTTGTCCCAACAGTTCCATGTCCTTTTTCTCTTAAGGACACCGGAACTGCACACAATACTCCAAGTGAGGTCTCACGAGAGCAGAGTAGAGGGGCAGGATCACCTCCTTCGACCTGCTGGTCACGCTCCTATTGGTGCAGCCTACGATACGGTTGGCTTTCTGGGCTGCGAGCTCACACTGAAGCCGACTCATGTTCATTTTCTCATCCACCAACACCCCCAAGTCCTTCTGCGCAGGGCTGCTCTCAATCTCTTCTCTGCTCAAGCTGTAGCTGTGCCTGGGATCGCTCTGACCCAGGTGTAGGACATAAGCAGTGCCTCCTGGAGGAATAAGCAGGGTCTCCTCTCTGAACAGACTTGGAGTGTGTTTGCAGAGGTCCCGTTCAAACAGGCAATGTTCCAGCACCGCTTTGCTCTGACAAATGCTGTGCAGATACCATTACCGGCCCTGGAGAATGCCGGGGTAGTGCATGCTGCCTGAGGATCCTAGGAGAGAAGGAGCAGAAGGGAACAGCCCTTACCCTGGTGTTGGTTGGAGGGGCATGGTGGCACTTGGGTATGAAGGATGTGAGCGCAACAATGGCAGAGCAGGTCCATTGCTCAGGGAAACCTGTGGAGCAGCTGGAGCTTCCTATGAGAAACTCAAACTTCAGCCCTCGTCTGCCACTGGTGAAGGAGTTCCAGTTCAGTACGAGAACAAAGCATACACAGATGGAATTACTGACTTTTTTCCTCCCTGTTTTGCAGCAGGAAGTTGCCAGACTGCAAGCAGTGAGATTAAGCCTGGTACAACAGAGAAAACATCACACTGACAGTGTTAGCGGTGAGGAGAAGCAAGACACACCAACCCAATCTGGGTGACAAGCAAGCTTCTCCTTTATTTGTGGCGCACATCGCTCATATCCGCGTGGTGTTAGCCACGCCTACTAGTCACAACAGTATTGGTTAGTTCTACACGGCTTCCTTCACATTCTCCTCCCACATCCGGTTTCCAGTTACCTGTGAGGCCTACACTTGCTTTGCTCGCACAAGGCCTCTAAGGATCCATGGCCTTGCTCTTGGAGCCATTCTGCAACAATTCCCCCCTTTTTCTTTTGTGCGAGCAAAACATTGTGGGTTATTCTGTTCACTTGTTTCATCACACAACTAAAAGCAAGTCTAACAACTACAGTGATTGAAATAACAATGATACATAAGCGCAGTCCTTCAAATAGCAGTGTTTTAAGCCAACCTGTAATGCCCCATGAGGACAACCATTTAGTTATCCCTAGGTCATTGCTCACTTGCAATTGCTGGGTAAGCTGAGCCAGGGTTTTCAGCTGTGCGTGTATCGAATTAGAATGATCAGAAAGATTCCATCAAACTCTTCACATCCATGTCCCTGTGCCAACAACAAAAAGTCTATAGCGGCTCTGTTCTGCAGTGTTGCATGTCTCACAGAATCAACATCAAACAACAAATCAGAAATCACCTTTGATGTAGTATGTGTCTGCTTAGCAAGCCAGCAACCCAGTTTGTTTAATTGAGCCAAGGCCCCGGCCGAAGCACTTACAGTGATTTGGCATATTATGATTGGATACATGCCTTGAAGACCCTTAGTGACTAACATATAATTGGTTAAACACAGGTGTGAGAACTCAACCTTGAAAACTTGCCAACAGTCCACAGTTCTCATTAACTTGGTGAATTCCAGCCTCTTACCTTGCTTGCTTAAGCTTCTTCGGGCCTCTCATGGCCTTGCTGTATCTTTCAGGATTATTCAGAATTTATGTACCAATTATCCATTCTCCCGTGAGAACACTGTCTCCACATCTCCTCCCTTTTGTTTTGTATCCAGTAACAAGTTGCTACTACAGCAAGGCACACAAATTTACATTAGCAGAGTAACTATTACAGGGTGCAGCAGCATGTTGAAGATGCTGATGGCAGTGAGGGACTAGCCAAAGAAATTTCTTACCAGTGAAATTCTCCCACCGTCTTAATTTGTTCCATTACCTGCTTTATAACACTACCATTGTATTAGAATCTTTCCAACTTTTGCCTTAGCCAGGTGGCCAGCCTGTGCTGGAAGAAGTGGCCAGCAGTATCTACAAAGGTCTCCAAGGGTTGATAGAAACCTGGACATACTTATATTTACCAACTTCTAGAACATGAGTATCACAGAGAAACTGTATGGGCTCCCCCTGTCAATTGCAAAAAAAAATCGTAACATATACAGCTTGAGTATAAGAGGATTTTAACCCATACGTGGTCACTGCTTGTCAGGCCTCCTTAACTATTTTGAGATCAAAAGCTTCCCACCCTTTAGCCCCCTGCTGTGTAGTAAACACAGGATATGCAGAGAGGCCCATTGCAGAAAATTCACCAGTAATGATCGCATCTTTGATTAACCCATGCCAACAGTGCACAGGATTTGTGTGCCCCCCCCCCTACAGCCACTAGACCTGCTAGCTGCTTTAGAGTCTCAGGCTCAATTCCCCGCTTTTATAAAACGCACTGTAATAAATCAGGGGCTACCTCTCGGTCCATTTTCGTGGCCGGCCTTTTCCGGATCGTCCTCTTCTGGATCGTCCAAGACTGGATCGTCCTCCCGATGCAGCAGTATCTGGTTCGCCCCAGCGGCGGACTCCTTTCCGTCAGTCCAAGCACCCGGGTCAGTCACGCCACCGCAGTAGCACTGCCCGCGCTCCACGGCCGCTGCCGCCGGTGCCGCTCACTCGTCGTTCCGGGTCCCTGTTACTCAGGGCCCTGTATTCCGGGTCCCCGTTAACCGGGACCCTGTAGTCCTGATCCCTGTTCGGGCGCCATTTGTTAGCGGCGAGGAGAAGCAAGACACGCCAACCCAATCTGGGTGACAAGCAAACTTCTACTTTATTCGTGGCGCACATTGCTCATATCCGCGTGGTGTTAGCCACGCCTACTAGTCACAACAGTATTGGTTAGTTCTACACGGCTTCCTTTACATTCTCCTCCCACATCCGGCTTCCGGTTACCTGTGAGGCCTACACTTGCTTTGCTCGCACAAGGCCTCTAACGATCCATGGCCTTGCTCTTGGAGCCATTCTGCAACATGACAGGACAACGTACTCTGTTAAGCTTTATTTCATAAGCTCATGCAGAAATGCCACAAATAAAAATGACAGACTATTCTATTACACAAATTCACTTATTCACCACTAAATCATAAGGTTTCATAACTTATAAGCCATAACTCTTGATTTGTGGTGAGGCCTTGAGAGGTCCGTGGTGGCCCCGTGTCCCAGCTGGCAATACCTCCTTCCATGGGCACATCCTCACATGCTGCCCACATGGTCCTGCAGCCTCCCTAGCACTCCATGCACCCGCTTCAATACCTCCTCCTCATTCACACTGCGGAAGGCCTCGGTGGGGGTGATGGGGAAGGGGTGGTAATTCGGGTACTGTGTGGCTTTGCCATCCACGCCATAGCTATGCAACCACTCCACCTCCTCAGCCAGGCCCCTCAGCTTTGGCTCTGCCACCTCCAGCCACCGGGCCAGCCCCACCAGCCCTGGTGGTGCCTCGAAAGCTTTACCACAGCAAAGTATGGCAGCCATCAGTGCCTTCCCCAGGGCCTGGTGCACCTTGAAAAGGACCCAGTTGGAGCAGCAGCACCTGATGTCATTATGGGCTGCCTGAAGGTCACTCTTGGCTTGCCGCAGCCACCGCTGCGCTTCTGGGATGGATGGAGTCAGGGCCATGGCCTCCTCATTGCGCAACCAGGAGCCATGGTCTTCCCATTCCCAGCAATGGTGCTGGGCAGCACCCAGCAACACCTTTGGCTCCCTGCTAGCCGTGCTGTGACCTCCACTGCCCTCTGGCATCAGGCTGCGGCAATCCTTCCGTGGCTTCTGCCTTGCCGCAGCCTCCCCATGCAGCCTCTTCTCCAGCTCTGGTGCCATGACCTCCTCTGCCTCTGGTGCAGCACCCACCAGTGCCACATCATTCTCCTCCAGAACAAAGGCCACATCCCGTGGCTCCTGGCAGACCAGCATTTCGCGCAGCACTGACAAGGCTTGTGCTTCCAGCTGTCCACCCAGGATGGTATTGATTTCCTGTGCTAGTGTCTCCAGGACCCTCAGCTGGTGCCGGCTCAGCACCATCTCTGCATGCCGGATATAGAGGAGCCGCTGGGCGCTACCAGCCAGGCACACATGCACAACCCGTGGCTGGGAGGTGCCCTCTACTTTGGCACCATTGTGCACCAGCACAGTGCGGATGTCCTCGCAGCACTGCACTTTCAGTTGCTCCAATGCAAAGCCACAGTCCGCTTCCATTTTTCTCATAGCCCTGTGGCTCTGCCACTGGAGCAGGGACTCCAGCCCCATCCTAAACCATGGTGACACCAGGAGGGTCTGCAGCCACCTCTGCCCAGGGCACTGAGAACCATAGCGGCATGGCTGCAGGCTGCTCTCCAGCTGCTGCTCTGTCACCTCTGAGAGCGCCCGTGGCCGCAGGCGCTGTGGTAGCATTTGCAGCAGCCACCAGGCATTGCGCCCAATCCCCGGTAGTTCAGCCATAAACACAAAGGTCTTCCCCAGGACCTTGGAGGTATTTGAGGACACGCAGTCATTGAAGTACAGCTCGTGGGATGACTCCAGGCAGTCAGCAGTGCTCAGCAAGTACAGCTCAGACACGCTGGAGAAATCAGGGGGCTCCGCTGCCTCCCGCAGAAGCTGGAAGAAGTGGTGAGTGGCCAGCAGGACTGTCTTCTTCTGGACGGTATTGAGGGTCCTGCTGGCATGGCTCTCCTGGTGGATTTGGGCCAGGACACGGCTGTAGTGAGTCAGTGTGGGGAGAAGGACCACCCCAAGGTGTTGCAGGAGGTCTCCATAGACACTTATGTGGGGGTCAGGTGTGAGGAGATAGGGGTAAAAGCAAGCCTCGTCCGGGAGTGATGTCACTACTCGCCATGGCATGGCCATGTCCTGTGACTTGGCCAGCACCACAGGCAGCTCAGTGAGGCGCCCTGCATCCACCTCGTTCAGATGGGTCTGCAAGAAGTTGTACACCTTCTGGAGCACATTGGCCCGTGTGTTCAGCTGCTGCAGTGTCTGGCAGGCTACCCTGCACAGCTGCTCCAGGTTGGCCACCACCAGAGCAGTGGGTATCTCTACAAGGACTCCCATGGCCTCCAGGAGGCTCTTCTTGAGTGCAAAGCACTTTGGCAGGATAGCGGCTGATGTCCACAGGAGCTCAGCCACATCTGCTTGGCAATGGTAAACACTGCCTTTCAGGGCCACAGGCTTAGTGCAGGCTGCAAAGGGGGGGTGGAGTTTCCTCAAGTTTTGGGGGATGTCCAGTGGAGGCAGGAAACGGATTGAGGCAATCTGCTCCAGGAAACTCCCTGGGGGGGTTTCTTCAGGATTGTCCAACAGGGTACAGAGCTCTTTGAGCATCTCCTGCTGTCGCATCAGCAGGTCTTTAGCATGGCACCCAGCCTGAGTGGCTTCTTGTTCTATCTCCAAGGCCAGTTCCACAAAATCCTCCTCAGAGAGGCTGGTGCGAACACCTGCCTGAAGCAGGAAATCCTCAGCAGCTTGCTTGTGGTGACCTAGCTCCTTGAAGAAAGACTTGGGCACAAAGCGGTGTTGGAGCCGCAGGGTGCTGAAGGATTGTGTGTTGATATAGAAGTAGGAGGCCAGGCGCAGCACACCTTGGGCATCAGGTATAAAGGCCACAGCCCGAAAAGCTGCCACAACAGCTTTCTCCAACTTAACATCACAGATGAATTTCAGGTTAAAGAACAAGCGCAGAGCTTCCATAAGCTGCTGTGCTGTGAGCTGGGACAGCCGGGGCAACACCACAGTCTTGAAGAGCTGCTTGTCATCTGTGACCTCCCACCCCAAATCCTTGGCCAGCTGTTGGTGCATCTTGTCTGCTGTGAGCAGCACCATATCCTTCTTCAGGTTGTACAGGGTTTCAACACCCTTGGGCAGTTTTGGGAACTGGCTTTTGAGCAGCAGCACCTTGCAGGAGGGTGCCACAGAAACGTAGTCCCCATTATACTTCTGGAAGAGAGGCAGGAGCTGGAGCTGCTGCAGTGCCAATGAATCCAGTTTTCCTTGCACAGAGCACAGCAGGACAGTAACATCCGTCTCTTCTAAGTCTCTCCAGTGGAGATCAGCTCTGGTGTCTGCCAGCTGGAACACCAGAGCCCTGGGATCTCTGGCTGACAGTGTCCTTGTTTTCAGGCAGTGGTAGGCAAATTCAGGAGGCAGCAGGAGCCGCTGGAGCATAGGGATGCCCAGTTTGTGCAGCACCTTGGCCACTTGTGTATCACACTCAAAAAGAACATTGGGGAGGGAGGATAGAGGCAGTAGGTGCTGTGAGCCTGGCTTATTCCCCTCAACAGGCAGCACTATCACATCCCGGAGATCATTCATGAATGAATTCATGTTTGCCTCCAACTTGTCTTGGGTCATTTTGGGTGAGTAGACCACAGTGCTGAAGAACTTCCACAGCTCCTTGAGCCACTTATTCCCCTCTGTGGTCCAATTCAGGTGACCCAGTGCCTCCTGGATGAGTGGTGTGGCCTCCAGGAGGTCAAGCTCCTTCACAAAGCAAGGCAGGGTCAAGACAGAAATTAACTCGTCAGCAAAGCGGTGACACTGAAGGGGGAAGAGGTGGGCAAAGGAGCTGCGGAAGACTGGGTGGTGGGTGCTGAGGGCATTCAGGGAGCCGTCTTGTGTGGCCAGCAAGGGCAGGCCTTCCAGTTCTGCCTTGTCCACATCCCGAGGCTCCAGGCAGTGTCTCAGCAGGATAGCACAGCTCTCCGGGGTCCTCAGGGGTGTCTTTGCTAGCATGCAGGGCACGGGGAGTGCCAGGGCCTTGAGGAAGCGCCGTAGAGAGGCTGCCTGCAAGGAAACAGCATCCACACAGGCTTCAGTGAACTCCTTGTAGATCTGCTTCAGGTGAATGAATGGTGGCACCAGGTTCATGTTCAGCTGCTGCAGCACATTCTGGAGAGCTGGTTCAGGAATTGTCTGAAGGAAGTATGGCTCTGTTAGCACATTCCCACCACCTGGAGATGCCCAGGTCACTGTCACCATGCTGTCAGGTAGCTTTCTAAGTGTCTTGATGTGGTACACAGGAACCAGGGGTGCACAACTGACATGCCTGTAGACATTCCTCACCAGATCCTGAAAGGTGGGTTGTGCCTCTTTCACAACAGGGAAGAATTGGAGGTAATGGAAGGCCAGATGCTGCTGGCAGACCTTCAGGGACTTGAACTGGAGCCCTTCAGGCCCCAGGGCTTTCCACTGCCTGGCGAGAAAGGCACAGTATAGTGGAGCCATCAAGCGCCGGAGCAAGAAGCTGTTCCAGGCTGCCTCTGTGCTTCCTGAGTCCTGGCGGAGAAAGCGTCTGGCTGCATCCACAGAGAAGTTGGCATTGATGTGCACAGGTAGCCCTGTGCTCAGCGGCAGTGGGAGGGTGCAGAAAGCTTTGCCTGTGAATTTATGCAAGACCAATGGCTTCAGGCAGGCAGCCACAGCCCCATAGGGCAGCCGCCCAGGCACTGGAGATTCCTCAGTCCCCTCCTGCACCCCAATCTGGGAGATCACTCTCCACACAGTGCTGGCCCTGGCCCTGCTGGTTTTGACTGTCATCATATAGGAGACAGAGGTGGGGCTGTTCTCATCCACGTCTTGGCTCAATCTCACTTGATATGCCCGTCTCAGCTCTGCATCATGATCTGTCAGCTCTGTGTCCACCCGCAGCTTCTCCAACAATTGCTCCCCATCTGGGGGGATCTCAGAGAAGACCACGGTGCGGACGTGCCGGAGGAAGAGCACCAAGTCCTCACCTTCCTCAGCCAGTACTGTCTCCATTGCCATGATGTCTTGGTCTTGCACAACTCTTCCAGACACCCTGGAGAAGATAGCCCCAGTTGCAGTGCGGAGGGGTAGACGGAAAAGGACACCCTTGTTCAGGTTGAAGAGGGAGGGTAAGAAGGTGCCATAAATATCTGGGAAGCTCCTCTTGAATTCAGGGGTGACAGCAAACATCCCACCAGGACTCTCAGTTGTGGCTGTGGGCACGTAGGAGAGATGAGGATCAAAGACACACAGGGCACTGTCTCCAGTAAGGAAGGCTGGGCAGTCAGTAAAGTGATAGACAGTGTTGAAGCCAAGGCCATATTTGCCTGTGACATTCTGCCGGCCTTGCTTGCCACCCACCCCCAGAAGCTGAATGCCTTCAATGTCCTGCTGCTGGAAGGGGCTGTCATTGTAGATGCAGAGAGCTGGGCCCTGCAGCAATGTCCATTTTTCACCGAAAGTGGCATCTGCTGGGTGCTGCCGGCGGTCCCACACGAAGTGCACAAGCCTTGCACCAGCATCATCTGCATTCTGGACCAGCTCTGTCACGATATCACGAGCAGATGCTGGATACTCACCCAAGATGTTCTTCAGCCGTGTAGGCAAGTCTTCATGGGCACCAAATGGCTGTGCCCAGGGGCTCATGCCTGCCATGAGCAGTTGGCTTTTCTCCAGTGCTCGGTGGCGTGTGGTAGGCACACCGCAGCGCTGGGCTATGGCTCGGGATAGCTGTTCATGGCACAGCAGGACATCTCTGTCCATTGGCATCCATGGCATATCATTGAAGTGGAGCTTGTCCCGTGGACGTAAAATGCCCTCCTGGTCGGGTAGAAAGAGTCTTTGGGTCTGGTAGGCATCTGGCTCTTTGTCATCTACCATCAAGCCAACAGACACCAGCCGCAAGGCCAGAGCCAGCTCTGCGGCAGGCAGGGGCTCTCCAGCGTGCATCTCTGCCAGGGTGTGGAGGACTCTGGCATAATCATCCCAGGTGAATGTGTGGCGCAGACCCACACACTCCCAGAGTTGCTTGTAGGGTTGGTACTGCTCTGGAAGCTGGTGAAGATATGGGGCAGCCTTAAATGACAGTTTCTCAGCCACAGCCATGAGTGGCACAAAGTGGGAGCCCACCAAGATGAAGGGCTTCTCTTGGGCCACTGCAGAAGCCACCTCACCCCAGATGGAGTGATCTTTCTGGAGCAGTGTGTGCAGGTAACTGTAGCAGCAATGGGCGCTGTCCTGCAGGTTCTTCAAAGGGAGAGCATTGGAGCTACAGCTCAGTGCCTCCAGCTGCTCAAGGACTGTAGCTGCTGGTATCTGCCGGTTCAGTCCCAAGAAGGATTCCACTTCCCTGGAGAGGCTGAAATTTTTCCCCAGCACTTTAGGAGCAAAGACAGGGTGGATGAGTCCCACTAGTGGGGCTTGGAGGTAGAGCTGGCCAGCAGGCAACAGCACGTGTTCACCAGTTGGCAGTCTACCAGGGAGGAAGGGCACAGACTGGAGAGCTGCCTGCATGGTGTTGCTCACCCTCTCCTCCACTGCATCCTGAAGCAGCTCAAGGATGCAGGCAGCCCTCTGGTAGCCTTTGGCATGGTCCTCGGTCCAGATAAGTTTCACTGTCTTTGCCCGTTCCAGCAGCTCTGGCAGGGTCGTTTTGTCCTTAACCATGCCCAGCCTCTCTAGTTGGCTTAGTCTGTCTGGGGAAAGGAAAGCATCCCCAGTGGGGAAGCGCCCATCCCTAGGGTCATATAAAGAGGCAGTGCGGCCTCTGGGATGTACCAGGCAATTGATGAACTGCAGGTGACCATGAGGGGTGGCAGGAATGCAGGGCACTGTCTGCAGCACTTTGTTGACATCATGGTGGGACATATCTAGTGCATGGAGAAGCAGTGGGTCCCGGTCAACAGCAGAGAGGTCTTTCAAATTGGGAAGCACAAGCTCGCAGTAAAAGCGGGGCCAGTCGTAGATGCCAGCTTTCGCTGCCTCCCCGAGGCCCTTCTGCACCTCCTCTGGCAAGGCCACAGCTAACAGGGGATAGGGCAGGGTGGTGGCAAAGACACGCTTCGCCACAGCACCCAGCTTGGGGTGTCTGACCACAGCTTGGTGAAGGAAACGAGCGTCCTGCAGGGAGCACCATGAGCGGCCATCAGAAAAGAGCCTGAGACCATTCCTGGATGCCACAGCTTGATAGAAACCAGTCACAGCCTCTGTAAAGGGGTAACGGGCAGCATTAGCGTCTGGCCAGAAGATGTGATATTCATAGTTCTTCAACTCACCTGCCTCATGCATGGAGCGAAGGAGATCCAGTGCCCGGAGCCAGGCAACAGGCACGGCATTGCGGAGCAGCATTCGATTCCATTCACCTCGCTCTTTTGTGTCCCACAGCCCCTTACGGTTTGAGAGGATGCTGAAGGCCCCATGCACATGGATTGGCAGCCCTGAGGTGACTGGGATGGGAAGGTGGCAAAAGACTTGCCCCTCCTCGGCATCCAGACGTGGCACCCACTTGCCGTCTTCAGCAGGGGCAAGGGGAAGGGCCACACCAGCCATGGGAGGTGAAGGGGAGTGCCCTGCCTGTGTATTCTTGTGAAACAGTTCCAGCAGGTCCGCATCACCGTGGCACACCAAAACTAAGTAGTGCCACGTGGTCTTGGATGCTTCCTCGCAGGCTGTGAGCTGTTCAATGGCTGCCCAGCTAGGGGGGTCCCCAGGGGTGCCCAAGTCTCGGATCTCCTTTCGCCGCAGCATGGCCAGGGGCATGGTATCCTCCGCAGAGGTGGCTGTGTCTGGCAGCATCTCCAGGGACATCTCTCTCACCTTGTGCAGGAAGAGCAGCAGGAGCCGGTTAGAGCCGAGGAAGCTGGTGCCAAGAGACTGAATGCGCACTGTACCAAAGGCCTCTGAGCAAATCTTTGATGTCAAAGCTTCCTCCTCAGTGCGAAAAGGCAGACGGAAAAGGCTTCCTGGAAAGGGTCCTGGCTTAGGCAGGCGGCACCCAAAGATACCATGGTAGGGCCAGAACTGCTCAGCAAAGGCACGGAGGATGCGTGGTCGGCTGGAGAAGTCCAGGCGGATGCCAGGGCTGCCGGCCCTGGGGATGTGCTTGCCCAGATGGGTGCCATTGGGATCAAAGATGAGCAGTGTTTCCCCACTCAGCACTGCCGGCACATCTGTGACACGATAGACAGAGCAGAAGCCCAGCCCAAAGCGCCCGATCTTGCCTGCCTGGCCCTCCTTTGTAGCAGCCCCAACCCGTGTGATGTTACGGAGGTCATCCTCTGTGAACAGGGCATCGTTGTAGGCCCAGAGGGCTGGGCCGTGGCAGGCGCCCATGCCGGGATCTAGCAACCCAGAGGTGGCCTTTCTGCAGCGTCGCAAGTCCAGGAGGAAGCGGCACACGGTAGCTCCAGCATCCTCTGCATTCTGCACCATCTCTGTGAAGAGGTCACTTTCGTCGCCATACTCCCGGAGGATGTTGCAGAGCCGTAAGGTGATGGATTCCGAGGGGCCGCAGGCGGTGAGCGGCTCTGGCCCCAGCACCCGCGTACTGAGCAGCTCCGTGCCAAAGAATGTCGCCGTGCTGGACGGCACTGCCACATGCACCACCTCCTGAACATCCTCCTCTGCGTCCAGCTCCATGTCCAGGTACACGGTAGTGGCAGCCGGACGGAGGGCAAAGCCTGAGCCCTCCAGGATCCTCACAGGAACTGGCACCGTGCCCTCACCCTGGTGTCCTCGACTCTTAAGCCACTGCAGGACAGCTACAACCACCTGCAGCTCTGCTGCAGTGCCAGCTCGGGAGCTGCGTGTGTCTATGTCCTGCCCAAGGCAGTGCAGAGCTGCTACTGCTCTCTTCTCACTTACCCTCATCTCCACCCCCCAAGCCCTAAAGAGGCAGCTGTAGGGCAGGAAGTCAGGGGGCACCCGGGGCACCAGCATCCCCAGCTCCAGCTCCTCAGGATAGCTCAGCACGGCATCACGGGGCAGGACAAACCCAGCTCCAGTCCACACCACAGCATTGTCCGGGGCAGTCCCAAAGGTCTTTAGGTTTTCCTGCATGTGCTGGTAGACAGGCCGGAGTGCAGCACCTACCTCATCCATGTCCCTGCGCCCTGCCAGCTCCCTCAGCTGCTTCCACACTTTCTTTGGTGGTGGAGTTTGGCTCAGCCCCAGCTTCTTCTCTGCCTCTGGCCCAAAAGCAGCAGTCAGATGCATGGCAAGCCCCACCAGGGGCTGGTACCGGGTGGACCGCAGCATCTCTGGGGCCAGGAAGGGCTGCCCAGGCTTTCCAGTGCACTTGGAGCTAGGCACCCACGGCAAGGACTGGAGCTGCGAGAGCTGTGCACTGCTGAAGCCAGACAGTGCCTTGGGGTGGTTGCAGACTTCGATCAGTGCCTGAGCTCTGCCCAGAGCTGCCTTGTCACCCTGACTCACGTGTGCTGCAGCCTTTAGGATGTCCGAAGGCAGCAGGCACCCCTCACCGTGCCGCAAGCCCAGGGTTCTCAAGGCCCGGAGGACAGGCGGGCTGCAGAAGGCAGCAGGAGGAAAGCACTCGGGGCCCAGCAGTGCCTGCAGGGTGCTCTCACAGGGGTCGTAGAGGTCTTGTGGGCGTGCAGGGCCGTTGGGAGTCTCCAGGAATGCCAGCTTGCTGCAGGCCTGCTGGAGCTGGGGGCTCTGTGCAAAGAAGATGTCTCCCTTCTGCAGCACCCAGAGCAGCAGAGCCTGTGTCTCAGCTGCCCGCCCCGCATAAACACCTCTGGCCACAGCTCTGACAGCCTCCAGCATCACTTGGACTACGCTGATGAGGGGCTTCTGGAGCCTCCCCAGGAGCCGACTGTCAGCTTCATCTCGGCACTGCAACGTAGCCTCTGGCAGCACCACATCTCCAGGCAGCTTCAGCTCTGGCTCCATTGCCAGGGTGCCACTGGCCGGCACCAGCTTTGTGGGCTGTGGGGTGGCCAAGCAGGGCAGTGGGATGAAGAGGGGCAGAGCAGCCAGTGTGGCCCTGTCCTGCTTTGTCAGGGATGGGATGTCTGCCAGGTAGAGCCGGAGGGTGTTCACATCCACAGGAGGCAGTGAGGCCAGGCGGGAGGCCACAGCTGCAGCCCCCTGCCTGCCCAGGGCCCGCAGGACATTGAGTGGGGATGGAGGTAAGACATAGTGGGGCAGGCAGCGGTGCCACGTGCCTGGAGGCACCACTGAGCAGCCCAGGACCTCCAGCACAGAGCACACAGCAAGTGGCAGGCGCTGGTCCTCCCATGCCTGGAAGATAAGACTGGACTGGGGAATCAACGGAGCCAGGCGGATGCTGGGGGCATCCAGTGGGGACAGAGCGATGAGAGGGAGCCCCTCCAGAGGGCCCAGGTTTTCCACGTGGTGGACCAGGAATTGCCACAGGGCTGGGAACCAAGAGGCTGGGGGCTGGGGGGGGCCTTGGTCCAGGTACCAGGTCACTGGGGTTGAAGACTGGGACGTCCAGGCAGAGGGCAGGGCCAAGCGTAGGGTCCGGACAGTCATGGCTGGATCCAGCAGAACCAGGTTGGGGAAGAGACCTGTGTGCAGGAGCAGAGGCTGGGTGAGGAGTATGTGGGAGCAGGGACCTGGAAGAGGGTACCCAGGATGTGGGGGAAAGAACCTGAGATCTGCAGGGGATGGAGCGGGGGGCAAACTGGGGATAGGAGGACCTGGGCTCTGGAGGGATAGTGGAGGAATAGGAGGAACAGGGGAACCCCAGACTCATGGCAATAGAGAAGATCCAAGAGGAAAAGAGGTGTAAGAGGGACCAGTATTGGAGGCCACAGAGGTCCTTGGTTGGGGAATACAGGGAGAGCCGGGATCTAAAGGAGCACAGAGGGGATGGGAGAATGTGGGAAGAACATCAAGGACAGCAGAGTACCCAGAGATACAGGGAAATGCAGGTAGGAGAGGTGGCCCTGGGCTCAGGCAATGCACCCCAACCCGGATAGTTGGGGTGACATTTGGGATCTATAGTGCTGTTGAATGGAATGCTGGGGGAAGGCCAGGAAGTGGCCTCAGACAGGGGATCATGGACCCCAGGTATGTACAGGGAGCATCACTGTGGTACAGGGAGATACTTGGGCTGCAGAGGAGCCCCAGGCTGTACAAGGGTGCCTGGGGGTGTAGGGTTTAAAGGTGGTGCAGGGACTCCCCATCTCTTACCTGCCTTGGCAATGCCTCGCAGGAGCCTGTCCAAGCCTGGCTCTAGGTCTGAGGGCAGGAAAGACCCAGCCAAGCCAGGCAGGAGCTCCCTGTGGAGACAAGCAGAGGTGCTGGGGGACCAGAGGGGCAACGGGGCCCAGACAGCCTCCTGGACATGCCTCTGCTCCCACTGGGTGATGCGGATGAGGAGGGCAGCGAGGTGACCAAGTGTCCAGGTTCGGCTGTGGCCCCTCTTTCAGCTCAAGAGCGGGAGCGGTGCCCTGGGCAGCCAGCTTGTGTGCCCACTGCCACGGGGAATGGGGCTGCCTGGGGCCACGGACTCACCTGGGGCAGTCGCGCGTGTCCACGTAGACAACGTCTGATGCGGTTCCAAAGGCCACAAAGGTCCCATCCGCGCGGGGCAGGAGGGGAAGCCCCCGCAGCTCAGCGTGGCCCCCATCCCCAGCCACATAGCGCAGCAGGGCCAGCCGCTCCGCCTCCGGAACGCCCGCAGCGCCGTGGCTCCGCAGCACCTCCCGCACGTGTCCCGCCGTGGCCTCCCGCACGCCTTGCGCCATCCCCAGCGCCAGAGCCCTCCTGACGTGCACCGGGACCTCAGCCACCGGCTCCCCGGCTGCCAGCAGCAAGGCCCGGACCGCGCGCTCTGCATCCCCCATGGCCGCGGGCAGCAGCACGGCCTCTGCAGCACGCAGCCACCCCTTGGGCCCCGCTGCGGCTGGCACCAGGGTGGGGGCGGCTGCCAGCCCCCGGCACACGTGGGTCACCAGGCTGCGGGTACGGCCGCAGCCGGGCGTGCGCTCGGGGTCTGGCCACATGCTGTAGGCGTCGGTGCCGGGCAGGGCCATGGCCACAGCAGCCATGTGGCTGTAGAGCCGTGGCAGGAGGCCGAGCAGCAGCAGGGTGTTCCAGCGGGCATCTTCCTCACCCTCCTCACCCTCCTCGGGCCAGCGGAGGTGGCGGCGGTCGTCAGAGAGGGCGAAGGGGGCACTGGCATGGACGGGCAGCCCCGTGGCGGTCTCGTCGGTGGCTGGCAGGGGTAGGAAGCAGCACAGCCGCCCTCGGCAGGGCCCATGGAGGGGGTGCGCCAGGCTCAGCTCGGGGCAGCACCCCAGCTTTGCCCCCAGCTCCATGGCCGGACCCTCCGTGGCCCTGCCCGTGGCCACCAGCCACTCGCTCCTGTCCCCCGCTCCATCCCCACGCAGGGCCAGCAGGCACCACGCCAGGCTCAGCCCCTCATCCCCTGATGGCGCTGGGACAGGGAGAGCCTGAGGGGATGCCGCGAGGGTCCCCATGAGCGTCTGGACCCCATCAGGGGCCACGCGGTACAAGGTCACGCGGCGGATGTGGCGGAGGAAGAGGAGGGCAAGAGGGGCCTCAGTGAGGAAGGTCTGGAGGAGGCTACGGATGCGCTCGGGATGGGAGACCCCTGCAGCGATTCCTGAGGGCTGCCGGCGGAGGGGGAAGCGGAAAAGGGTGCCCTGGGCAGAGCCACGGCGCTGTCCCACAGCCTCCAGCCCAGCCCAGAAGGGCTCGAAAAGGCCAGGAAGGTCCTGGGCTGCAGAGACATCCCAGCGGGCACCAGCACCTGGCAGCACCCGGCATTCGGGGTCCAGCACCCCCAAGAATGGGGGGCTCAGCACACCTGGGAGGTCTGGAGACAAGGGAACCATGAGGCCACAGGGATGGCATAGACACCACCGCCTCCCCACATCATCCCAACCCATCGGTGTCCCAGGTTCCCACCTGCTTACCTTCAAGTGCAACCCCACAGTGCCTCCCATGAGCTGAAGCTTAATCCCACTTCATCAAGCCCCCCCCAGTCCGCCCCTGCAGCCCTGCCCTCCATTGCCACCCCAGCCCTGCCCTCCATTGCCACCCCAGCCCTGCCCTCCATTGCCACCCAGCATCCCCCCAGCTTCAGATGTCCTCACTTCAGACACAGCCCCCCCCATTTCACCCAGCCTCAGTGACCCCCCATCACCCACAGCCAGTTCAGTGCCCCCAGTACAACCCATACCCCCAGTTCAACTCCAGTTGAACCCCCAGTGCCACTCACCAGTGAGGTGGTAGACAGAGGTGAAGCCCAGGCCAAACCGCCCCACGGTGCCGGGGTCCTTCCGCTTGTGTGACACCCCTGGGCTCAGGATCCCTGCCCAGTCCCGGGGGCACATCAGGGCATCATTGTAGGCCAGGAGAGCTGGGCCTGGGGGGTCAGGACCATGGGTTAGGGGAGACCTGGGACGTGTAGGGGCAACTGCGACCCATGCTCAGTGTCCCCACAATCTCAGTCCCCCCTCCAGTCACACGAAAGTCCCCCCCGGTTCTCCCTGTACTGAGTCCTCCCAGTACCCTCAGAGCCCCAGCACAGCCCAGAACACCTCACTGATGCCAGTTCTCCCAGTCCACTCTGACTCCTCTTCACCCACATCCCCCAGTCCCTCCCAGTGCCACCCCTGCCCTTTGCCCCGTCTCTCCCAGTGCCCGCAGTGCTTCTCACCCTGGGTGCCCTCCAGCCCTCCTCTGGTGACGTCGAACTCCCTCTCATCAGACACAAACACGACCTCCTTAGCGCCGGCATCGTCAGCGTTCTGCACCAGCTCCTGGGTTCGGGATTCAGGGATCAGTGCCCGGACACCTGAACCCCCCCCCCCCCGCCCCTCCAGCCCGCAGGGTAAAGCCCCAACCCGCTGTACCAGCAAGGACCAGGGACTGTGCAAGGACCACCACGCAGCCCGGCTGCCTGCAACCTGCTGGGCACCAGAGCGCTGGGTTCCGGGGGGTCTCACCTTGAGGATCTGCCCCCCATCGGGGTACTTCTGCAGGATGCTCTGCAGGTACTCAAGGAAGACGGGAGCCCGCTGGCAGAATGCCTGCCTGCAAAGCAGAGAGAATGGGAGCTCCAGGGGTAACCAGGACCCCCTTGGATCCCCAGGATGTCCCCTTCCTTGGCGGGGGGTCAGGGGCTCCATCTCCTCTCAGGACCCACTGAAACAACCACCTCAGGGATGCCCCACACCTCCCCAAGCCCCCGTCTCTCCCTGTGCTGCTCCAACAGCTGAAACTCCTCAGCCCCGCATACTCCCCACGTCCCGCAGCAACACTTCGGGTTCCCCCCCCCCACCCCTGAGCCCCCCCGTCCCACCGACAGCCCCCAGTGGTCCCCGGCGGCTCCAGCCATCCCCCCTGTCCCCCATAGGCCCCCAGGGTCCCGCTGCTCGCACTCACGCGTCCGCCTGCGCCGCGCTCATGACCGGCACTGCCGGGGGGGGCGGTCCCTTCTCCTGCAGCCCCGGCACTTTCGTTTCTCCTCAGCCCCCGCCTCTCCTTTCCGGGCTCTTTTAGCCGGGAATTGCAGCCGGGAGGGGCCGGGAGGATGCGGTGCGGGGGGTGGGGAGGGCAGGAATATGGGAATATGGCAATGGGGCCGTGGGGATGTGCCGACGGCACGGGGTACGTGGGGATATGGCCATGGGGCAAGGACCACAGCAAGGGCTATAGCAATGGGGGTGTGGCTATAGAGTGAGGGCCATTGGGGATAGGAGTATGGCTATGGCAGAGGGGTATGGCTGTGGGTTGGGGACGATGGTAATGGGGCAGTGGGGACATGGGAATACGGCTGTAGGGATGGGGCTACTGGGGCATGGTGATGGGTCAGAGATTCATGGGAATGTGTCTATTGCGCAGAGTACAGTGGGAGCACAACGGCTATGGGACTGAGGCCATGGAGCCATGGCCATTGGGAAGGGCTTTAGGGGCATGGTTATGGGGCAAGAGGCATAGGAATGTGAATCAGAGCATGCAAGACCATAGCAGTGAGGTGGGTTCCACTGGGGTACAGCCCACAAGACTGTGGGGATAAGGCTATGGGACAGGTGGCCATGGGCAATGCAGTGGGTCCCATGGGTATACAGCTATGGGGTGATGGAGTTACATGGGATATAGCTATGGGGTAGGATTGCTGTGAGCAAGGGCACATCACCACGGCAGGTGGGGATATAGTTGGAATTGCTATAGGTTGGGGGACAGTGACATGTGGCTATATGTTGGGGCATGAGGGACATAGCAGTGGAGTGGGAAGAACATGGAGACATGGAAATGGGGTAGGGAGGAAGTGGAGCATGCGTATGGGGTGATGGGTACATGTAGGACATAGCTTGGAGGGGACGACTTTGGGACATGTCTGTGGGATGGGACTGCTGTGGGATGGGGGAGACGTGGCCACGGGTTGAAGGGCTGCGGTGGGATTGATGACAGGGAAGGCTCAGCAGCTCTCTTCCAGCTCCCCATGCCCTGGGCAAAAGGTAACAAAGAGCCCACCTGACTCCTTCAAACAAGTCACCTCTGAGGGGTGTCCCTACCTGGTGGACCTGGGTCCCCATGAACAGGCAGCCAAGGACATCCCCCAGGCGCAAGAACTGTGTGGGGACAGGGAGAACAGGAGGGCACTGAGAAAGGCATCTTCAGGGACACAGGCAGTGGGGAGCAGTCCCACAGCCCATCCTTTCTCTGCTCCCAGATCAACCACAGCATCTTCCCCTATTTAATTAACTCTCTGTTACCACCAAAGGGAACTCCGGCCACAGCACTGGCCAACCCAGACCAGGAAGCTGAGGCTGGAGGCCAGGCCCCAGCTGTGCTGGGTGTGAGCACAGTAACGACCCTGTTGTTGCTCCAGCACAGGACAGGGGAGGCCTGGATGGGTGATCCAGACCTGCAGGTAGAAAGTATTGCTAGTATCGCTGTCCCTGCTCTAATGAGAGACGCTATAGGGCAGGTGGGATGGAAATGGAGGAGGCCAAAAAGAGCCACAAGGGAAGCCAAGTTAATTCCTTCCTATTCCACCCTGTGGAGTCACCAAACTTCTGCCATAGCTGTGGGGGAGAGCTCAAGCTGGACATAGCCTGTGGCCAGACCAGCTTTAACCTGCCCGAGGGGAGACTGAGATGAGCTCTTAGGCAGAAGCTCTTCCCTGTGAGGGTGCTGAGGCGCTGGCACAGGGTGCCCAGAGAAGCTGTGGCTGCCCCATCCCTGGCAGTGTTCAAGGCCAGGTTGGACACAGGGGCTTGGAGCAAGCTGCTCTAGTGGAAGGGGTCCCTGCCCGTGGCAGGGGTTGAAGCTGGATGAGCTTTAAGGTCTCTTCCCAAACCAGTCTGGGGCTCCATGACCCATGGAATCCTTTCCCTCTCCACCAGCTGGTCTGCACTGTGGTGGGGGGCACCATGCAGGGCTTCTGAGCATGACAAGGGGGCATGACACGGTGCCGAGGACTTCCCTGACCTCAGTGAGACAGATCTGACAACAAACAGAGCAATAAACCACCCGGTTTAGTGGCAGAGAAGAAAAAAAGGAGAACAAAGATTTTACCTCCCTTCAGATGCTGGGGACATCTCCACAGATGGGTCCATCAGTGCTGCAGGAGAGCGGGGGGTGTCCTGCCTCCAAAGGAAACTAACGTTCACTTGCATTCTACATCTGCTTTTTATTCTGTCTTACTGAAACAGCGATTTTATGGTGTCATGCGTTGCTGGACCCTTCTCACCAAGACTTAGAAGGAATCCCACAGCTTCCCCTGCCCTGCTTACAAAACATCACCCTATTTTGCAAAGGCTGAGAGAAACCATTTCCCCTTCAAGTGACCAGGGCTGAAAAAGAAACGAAAAGCCCAGAGAGCTTCACTGCTAAGGTCAGCAGGATCCTAAGACCACATCGTCACAGATGCCCAGCTCTGGATTGGTGACTTGGACATCCTGATTCCCGTTCAACCACCCCAGCCCTGCAGAAGCCATGCAATAGGAGGTGCTTTGTGGCAGCAGGGGGTATCGGGACCCACAAGAAGTTGCTCAGTGCCTCCAAAGCCTTCCCTTGCTTGAGCCAAGGACAGAGGGAGCCAAGAGGGACATGGTGCTGCCTGTGACCACTGTGCTGGCCTTTGGTGAGTTCCAGGGGCTCTGTGGGCTCTCAGAGGGTGACGTGAGGCATCCGGACACTCCGCAGAGGAGTTACACAGCTGCTTCTCTTGCAGGCACTTGGCTGCTGGCACAGAGCGAGGCTGCAGCCGGTGAGTATCATGAGGAGGGAGATGGGGAGTTTGGCCACTTCTCTGCTCCCTCACCCCAGCACTGCAGGGCAGACCTCGCCCCTGTGTGGAGATGGGGCCTGAAGCCATTTCCAGGCTCGCCACGGGGACTCGTGTCTGTGTGGCAGCACCTCTGTCCCTGTGCAGCAGCATCTCTGTCCCTGTGCAGCAGCATCTCTGTCCCTGTGCAGGTGCCCCCACCATCTCCATCTTCCTGAAGCCGCCTGGGGTGATCCCACCAGGAGGCTCCACCACCATCTGCTGCAGCTGCCAGTGTGACGAGGGGAATGTTGTGCTGTACAAGGACGGGAAACAGCTCCGTAGCCAGGAGCTGCGTGAGGGAAGGGCCAAGTTCCCCATCTCTAACGCCACCCAAAAGGATGCAGGTCCCTACAGCTGCCATTACCTGGCTGGAGGCACTGTGCTGGCTCGCAGTGAGACCCTGGAAATCACAGTGAAAGGTGAGGGATGTGCAGTTACCCCTTCACGTGGGGTCAGGCTCTAAGGGGCACACAGGGATGCACTTGGCTTCCCCATGCACATGGTGGGCAGGGTTTTTCCCTTCTTCCCTGGTTTGGAGAGGTGGGGACCATCTTTACCACTGCCTGAGCGAGGTGTAGGGGTCACGGAGACGCTGGTGGCTCCCATGTTAAAGCCCAGCACACCTTCTCATGGCCTCTTCTCTCCCAACAGAGTTCAGTCTCCCCAGACCTGTCCTCTCTGTCATGCCGGGACTTGAGGTGGCTGCAGGAGCTTATGTGACTTTCCGCTGCACCATCGCACGCGCCAGGGCTGGCTGTTTCCTGTACCTGGAGGGCCACAACAAAGCTCCTGACTTAATTCATAAGGATCAAGATGATTTCAACCTCCCCCGGGTGCACAAAGGCAACGAGGGCCGCTACAGCTGCCAGTGCTACAGCGGGGCTGCTTTTATGGAATGGTCTGATGTCAGCAATAGCCTGGATTTGGTGGTGAAAGGTGAGACATCCCCCAAGGTGCATTTGACCCTTCTCTTCCTCCACTGCCACATCCTGGAGGAACTAGAAAAGAGGATGAAAGCAGGTGTAATAGGGGTTCAAGCAGAGGATTACAGCTTCCTTCAGACATGTGTGAACCTTGCCAGTTCCTCAGAGAACCTACAGATGACACAGGGTTGAGGCAAGGGTCCCAACAAGCGTCGTATGTCTTGTCACAGTGGCACCATCTGGCTCAGCACGGGTGGGTGAGGGCCAGCTCCACTTCCGTGTCCCACTGTCACTGGTGCCACTGGGTGGATAGGGGATGTCCTAGGGAGGTATACCCCTTGGGGCTCCCTGTGAACCCTTTAGCCCTCTTTAGCCCAGCAGTGTCTCCTTGCCCACGAGTCTGTCTGCCCTGGGAACCTCACATGTGCCCCTTCTGTCCCCTGTTGCCCCTATGGGAGGGCTCCTTCGGTCTGTCAGCTCCCTTGTGAGGGTCCCCAGTGACTGTCCCTTCCTGCCCCCTGCAGACTACACCTGGAGCAACGTGGGGCGCCTGGTCCTGGGCGCCGCTGTCCTGGTCCTGCTGGGGCTCATCGTGGCCGAGGACAGGCACAGCCTCCCGTGCATTTCGCCTGTGGGGAGAGGTGGCCACCAGGCTGCTCCCTGCACCCAGAGCTCCCCGTAACTGGGACCAGGAAGGGATCACTGGGATTGCTCCAGCATCTCCTCACAGCAGGATAACTCACCACTCCCCACCGACTGCATCCGGGGCCATGGGGCAGGATGGGAGAGAGAGACCTCACGGCAGCGGGTGAGCCCTCCCTGCGGTGCGTGTGCATCTGTCCCTTTCCTTCTGCCACCAGGCCTGAATAACCAGTGTCCAGCTGCAGAGACTTCCACTGCTCACAGTCGTTTATTACTTTAAAACACTGACGAAACACATCACGCTGTCCTCTATATATATAAATTTACTTTGAGACAGCTATAAATTTATATATATAGGACCTTTAAACCTCTTTATACTCAGGACACAAAGTTCCAGAATAGCTTCACGGGCTACAACAGAAGTAGTTTTGTTATGAAAACACAAACCTCAAAAATGGGGGGGGGGGGGGGGGAGAGAAATTAAAAAACAAGTGCAAAATGAATGAAAGTGCAAAAAAGTTTCTGCTGCCAGAACCGTGCTCCTGCCCCCTGCACCTTCCCCTGTGCCCCTGCAGGGACCAGCAGCCACCGGCCCCAGAGGGAAGGGGTGGACTGGAGGAAGTGAGGAACGGAAGTGGCTGAGTCACATCCCTCTCCCAGCTCCCTCCTGCTCTCCCCTCAGCTGCACTCACAGCCCCAGCTTTGCCACTGCAAAACCTCTGCCAACCCTTCGAGGCCATTTGGAGGGCTTCTGCCTTGCCTCAAAGTGCCTGTGGTGGATGCGGAAGGCACCAAGGGAAGGCAGAGGCCGGCATGGCCACACTCCTGCCTGCTCTCATGGAGATGGAGACCTTGGCCTCACACCACCATGATGCTGCCCGTTTCCATGCAGAGGGAGATGCTCCAACTGCTCCCCTGCCCCAAGACACCTGCAGCCCCAAAGACACTTTGTGCCCAGGTCTGGAGCACATGGTGGGACATCTCCCCAAGCCAACAAGAGCAGCAGGAGCACAGGCTGGGGGCCTCTACCCACAGACCCATGACTTGAACAGTTCTTCATTGACTTGGCAATGCTGGCTGCAGCCACATCTCTCAGAAAGACCGCAGCGAGGAAGCTGTGGCCACACTCAGCCCCACTGCCCTTCTCCAGCGCCTCAGTGACCCGGTAGTGAACATCCCCCTGAAGAGTTTGCTTGGGCAACAGGGGAAGGATGAAAAACTTTGGTGCTTCTGCCTTGGTCACAGCTGCCCTCGGTGCTGCCTGAGGGGGACTCCCAGTCAATGCTCTGTAGAGATAGCCCTGCCGAGGCCAGGGGTGAAGCAAACGTTCCTTCTCCTGACTTCCTGCTGGGAGCAGAGACAACCTCTGCTCCCAGAGGACACTACAGCCGAGACCCTGGCCCAGAGCCTGCTGCCTCCACAGCCACAGAGACCACTACATTAAAACAGCAACGCACAAACAGCAGGGGAAATGGTGGCGTGGTACTTCCACAAACACCCATACACACACACACACACACACACACACACACACACACACACAATGCTTTGGGTTTGGTTTTAAAGAAAACAAGAAGAAGGTTCTAAGTTTTAACAGTAAATAGCCCTTGACCACCTAAAAACCCTGTAACTCTCACCCAGATGAATGCAAAAGCTTTGCACCCAAAGAGCTGAGCTGGCCCAAGAGGCTGATGAAGTGATGCTGGAGACAGCGGGTAAGTGCGTGTGACAGAGGCCTCACACCACCCTTCCAGTGGGGCCAGTTTTCCTGGCAGCACCTCCCTGAACAGAGACCTGGCGTCCAACCTCACAGCCAGGCCCCAGAGCCAAGGGGAGAAACTTGGTTTGTGATGCTCACTCAGAGGGAGGCCAGAAGAGCATAAAGTAAGGCAGCACCTCATGGGCAGAACTTCCTGCTGATGCCCAGGCAGAGCATGGCTTTATCGCACCCAACAGCAGAGCAAGAGCTGGTGGTTCTGGTTGTACTCAGTCTTGTGGGTCAGCCATGGTGTGGCTCTTGATTCCTCTTCCCCTCCAGCAGGGATCCTCTGAGTTCGACACCACCTCTGCTCTGCAGGGCAACATGAGGCTCTCCATCCTTCATACTGGTTTCAGATCCAATACCAGGGTAGCATCTCCTCTCCCAGCACCCAGGGCAGGGCTTAGTCCCTTCCCCAATAGGAGGAATGAGTGAGCATGACAGCGTGGAGCAGGCCTGAATAGGTTGCTTTTGTAAGATGATTCCTCACAAGCTCAATAACCACATCCTGTGAAAGGAGCTGTTCCATTCCAGATCCCAGCTGGAGAGTCCCCGCACTGTTCACAGTCTCACAGCTGAAGGCCCCAGGGCTCCTCTTCTTCCACCTCAGCACACAGTGGCCCAAAAAGAGACTCCCCATCAGGTGAAGAGACCAACGTCAGGACCATTTACTGTGGATCAAGGGTGACTTGGGGAGTGAGTATGGGAGCCAGAGACACGGCTGTTAGTCCCACTCCCCTTCTCTCCACAGCTGGCCACAATGCAGTGCTTGAAGAGATGGAAGAACATACAAAAGGAAAGGAGAGGGAGAGCTGCCTAAATCAAACCCAAGCATTGACAAAACAAATACACGGAGTAGTTGCAAGTCCTGTGTGAAGAGCAAGCAGCAGACATCTCAAGACGTCTCAAGAGCAGGTCAAATGTGACCCCAAATATTCAATAACAAAGAGTCAAAGTGCTACATTTCCATGGGAAGCCTTGAACAGATTGACCCAGGTGTGACAGTTGCTGGTGCACTTGCTAAGATCTCTTCATCCCTGTCTTTGGGCACTGGGAAAGGAGGAAAGAATGTTTTGCTACTGATATGTCATTCTTGGGAATGGGAAAGAAAGTGGATGTAGGACTCGGATCACATCAGTGTGGGTCTGTCAGGAATGGAGGCTTTCCTAGCTTTGGAGTCCTAGACTCCATTACAAGGGGGAGCATTCCCAAAGTGCCTGCACCCTTGTTAAAAAGGTATTACGTTACTGAAGGGACAGAAAGAAACCCAGTTAACTGCTGAATCTCTTCTAGCTCTGCAGGTGAGGGATCCAGGGCCAGCAGAGGATCCTGCTCTTCAAACAGCAAAACCTGGGGGCCTTGTGAGGGCAAAATAGGGGGAGAAGGTGGCTTGGCAGGATTGAGTCAGCCAACTCCGGAACACCTTCAGAAACAGATGTCCCTATGGAAGAATGAATGCTTCTTATCCTTAGCAGCTGTCTCTGCTCTAGAAAGGGACTTGTTCCCAATACATGAAACAAAGAGGGTCCAAATCTCCTTTGCAGAGCATTTGCTGCAAGGGGAACAAGTTAACCAAGCATCCTTTCTCACAGAGATGTGCTGGCCAAGACAGCCTGAAGCCCACGAGGAAATAAAGCTTGCTCTGCACTCATCAACCCAGGCCCTGCGGGGCCCTGGATTGCTGCATTACCATAAAAAGGCATAAAGCAGAGACACTGGTTGTAGGCAGAGCAGCAGCCAGGACACGGTGCTCCTTGGAAGGGGCAAGAGTTGGGCCACTGGTTCCCAGCGCAGTGAAGGAGCAAAGCAAAGTCATCATCTGGCCTTAGAATGGGAAAGTCAAAAGAATTCAGAGACAAAGGCAAAGTGAGCAGAAGCTCCTCAAGAGTGTCCCTTGGAAATGATGTCAGCATGAGGCCCCCAGAGGAACACACTGGGGTAAAAAATGAAAACCTCTCTCAGCTGCTGAGCAAAGCCAAGACCGGCCTTTAAACGGGTGCAAGGATGTATGGAGGCAGTCAGTCCTTCCCTTACCTGGGTGATTTGACTGGTCGTGTCAGCCCCCAGCTGCTACACCCTCCACACTGCTCCCCTGTGCCTCACCACTGCCCTGCATCAATGCGGTCACAGCGAGACACTGGGTGCTGCTGTCACACTAAGAGAGGCCAGTCCCACATCAACCCTCTGCCCTACAGCCTCCCCAAGGCTTGGGGCCAGCCTTTGCCCAGTGCTGGAGGAGAAGGACAGTGTGGAGTGGAGAGGAAAGGATGGGAGATGGACTGGTGGGAGAGCAGAGATGCAGCACCCAAAAGGACATGAGCAGGACATGACAAGACGTGGTCGGTCAGGGGGAATCTCTGTCCTGACCAGTTTGGCAGCACCAGTGCTAAGAGAAGGTCCCAGCTGGGTGAAGAAAAGTCACTTTAAGGTGTCATCAGCATTCTTGAACATGAGGATGGCATTGTAGATCTTGAGTGCAGGGCCCAGCTTGACACTCATAATCTTGACGATGTCAGCCTGCGTCAGCAGGAGGAAGGCCTCGCCATCGATCATCTGGGGAGGAGAGCAGGGACAAAGGCACTCACCGAAAACCCAGACTGTGACCTCCTAGGGACAGCACGGGCACAACCTGGGGACATGCACAGTCACACTCACCCTCAGCCAGGTACCATGGATGATCCCAGGGAGTAGGGCAGGGGCTACCCACAGCACTCCCATGCTGCTGCCCCAGACAAACACAGCTTGTGCGTCCAGCAACCGGGCACAAGGGAGAAAAACCCTTTCCAGGGTCTCCTCCCAGGAGCTCACACTGCAGACAGCTCGGGCTTCTGCTGTCTGCACAGCACACAGCCAGCAGGCAAGCTGGTCTGAGCAAGCATCCATCCATGCATTCATCCATCCATCCATGCATTCATCCATCCATCCATGCATTCATCCATCCATGCATTCATCCATCCATGCATTCATCCATCCATCCCCTGCTCCAGGTCCTGGCAAGTGTGCAGGCTGCCCCCAGCTCAGCTTTGCAGGCCTGAGCACAGGAGGCATTTACTACCAGGCTGGGATACTTGCTGTACCCAGTGTGGCCAGGATCAGCTTGCCCTGGGTGCACTGCACATATTGGAAAGCAGCTCCTCTGTATGTCTGTCCACAGAGGAGTCTAATAACAATGAAACTGACTGACATACAGCGATGCACCTAACTGCTGTGCAGATGCATTGAGAGGATGCAGATGGGGAAGGGTGAATGGGTGAGGAACAAGCAGCTTTCCTCAGGAGGTGATCATGAAGGAATTCTCATTCTCTTCCTGCTCACCCACCTGAGCCTCCTCAGAGGTGCCCTCCCTCACCCATGCCAGAACAGGGCAGGAGGGTCACTGGCCAGTTCCTCCCTGCCCTGGTGGCAAACAGCCATCCTTGCCCACCTGCACTCATCCTCCAGCACTTCTCACCTCATCCTTGAAGAGCTTGGCTTGGTCCTCACAACCAGTCAGAGTCTGAACAAAGCTAAAGACCTTGGAAAAAACAGAGAAAAACATCAAGACAGAAGCAATGTTTCTGGCTGGAGACCCCCCATGACCCCACACTCTCACTTCCACAGAGGCATTTGGTGCCCTGTAAGGTAACACGTGGCTGTTAGGCCAAAGGCTGCAGTTGCAGCAAGGTCCCATCCCTAGATATCACCCTTGCACCAGGGCGCAGTAGGTGGCCTCCTCCAGCCCCAAAGCAGCAAATGCTACAGCATTTGCTCGACAGCCCGGAGAAGTAGCTGCTGAAGCCCGCCTGTGCCTGGTGGATGTACCATAGTGCTGCACAGCCAGGCAGAGTGCTCCCAGCCATGACAGTGGGCTAGGAGCCAGCACACAGTCTTTAAAACCACCTTACCTCATCGATGGTCCACTTGGCCACTGTGGCTGCTGTGATGCCGGCCACCCCAGGCAGGAGTTTGCAGTGCTGCTCCCAGCAGAGCGAGAGGGAGCGGTCGGGGTGTGCAGACAGTGCAGACATGAAGAGTGACTGGTGCATATTGTCTGAAGAAATAGCTGCCAACAAAAATGCAAGATGTGATCCAACGTAGGACAAGAACATCCCATCCTATCCTGCAGGCCTTGGAGAGAGACCAAGCAGAGCTCTGGTAACGGGCAGAGAAGATCTCTGTCAGATGGTCAGCTTTGGTAGTTGACCCCAAGCTCCTGGTGCTGACCTGTGTGAGGTCTGACTGAGTGAGCCAAGGGAGACCTGCCTCCTACAGCCACCACCCCAGCTCTTTGAGCCCTGCCTCTGCAATGGCACTGTGGAGAGGAGGCACTTACTCTGGAAGTCTTCCTGCTGGATCTTCCGGTACTTTGGAGGTCGCCCTCTAAAGAGACAGGAAGACTGATTTCCAACTGGGTTTGGACTGGCCCGAGGGCTCTTCTCCACACCGCACAGAGCAATGCCTTGGCAGTGGGAGCAAGAATTACCTCTTGGACCCTGACCCAAAGGGTTGACAGCTAAAGACACAAAACATGGGAAGAAAAACCAAGAGAGGTGCCCAACAGAGCTGGGAAGACAAACACCAGCCACCAACAACCATGCTCCCCGTGGTCAAGGAGCCTCAACAGCTTGGCCATCCCTCCCAGCGATGGCAGTGGCAGCACAGAGGCCCTGTGCTGCTGACGGGGCTCCCCAGGACTGCCCCTACCTCCCATGGTGCCGAGACTTCTTTCGCTGGGAGAAGCCAATGAGGTTCCTCTTGCGAGCCGAGGCCTCGCTGTCGGACAAGTCTGCTTTCAGCCTGCCCTGGTTCTTCTCTGCCAGCGGGCACCCTGAGAGGCAGTAATGGGCTGTGAATCTCCCAGTCACGTGTCCTGACCCATCACATCCCGGCGTGGGGCACTTCCTAGAGGACAGAGGGGAGGCAAGCATTGGACCAGGCTCAGAGCAGCATGGTGGGGGCACCCATCTGCCCCTAAGCATGGGAAGCTGGAGCCCTGGTCATAGAAGGCAGAGTAAAGATGTGAACAAAATCCCAGTGTAAGGGTGCTGGGTGCATGGGCACACCCAGTACCTCCAGGTACAAACACCCATCCCACCTTCTCCACTGCTATCACAGCGACCCTGTGCAAGTCACCAGTGCTGATCCTCCCTTCGTTGCCCCCACAGGCATTCAGATGAGAGTGAGGAGGAAGAAAGTGCCACGAGTGTGGCCAGTAGGGAAGCCCCTGGGAGGCAGATTTGCCTTCCCCATCCTCAGAGATGCTCCACTATACTCGCTCCTCTTGACAGCAGCCTGCTGTGCTGGGGTTGGCACGACACTGTGCCTGGTTTCCCCTGGAAAAGGCCTCACAAGTGACTGACTGAGCTGGGGAAGATGCACTGCTCCTTCTCAGGACTTCCCAAGCTCACAAACTCACAGTGAAAGGCATCCATGAGGGGTGGGAGGCACATCTTGAAGCTGGTATCAGTGAACAGCATCTTAATGGCACTGTTACCGACGTAGTCCCCACAGGTAGATGGGCATATAGGGCACCCCCAGGGGCTCTGGGTACACAGGACAGGCGTGGAGCAGGAGCTCACAGGAGTTATACCAGCCACAGGCTCCAGGCTGCTTTGGGGCCTGGCCTGTGGAGAGCAAGGGCTGACCCTAAGCATGGAGCAGAGCCAGCTATGGGGTGGGTGCAATGAAGGGCTGGCTGCTGATGTGGGTGGTGGGTATGGAAAAGCAGAGGAAGGGCCATAAGGGAAGCTGTGCCCCTCTGAGCCACACTGGGGAGCTCACCTGTGGTGAAAGCTGTACTTGGAGCTCTTGGTGTGAGGGATGCTCTTGCAGCCCAGCGTTGGGCAGCCCCCATGGGCAGACGAGGCTGGTTCCTTTGGCCCTAGACCAGGAGCAGAAACAGAAGAGAGACTGTCATGGGCTGCAGCCCCAAGCAGAGCCAGGGCTATGGGCTCCCTGCCTGCCCCAGACAGGGAGGAGTTTTTCAACTGACAGCTCCACAGAAAAGCCCTTCCTTCTTGCCCATCCTTAGGCCATTTCTATGCATGGGCAGGTAGTGGTGAGAATGGGGATCTGGCACACTTGGACCCTGGCTGTGAGGGACTGACCCAGGTACAGGACTTACTGAGAGGAGGCTGCAGTGGGTGTCCGGTTTTTGAGCACCAGCCTATGGGGTGGATGTCCGGATGATCTGCATCAATCCAGAAATCATAGACATGACTCCAGCCATCAAAATGGATCTGGGGAGAGACAAGCAGCAGGGTCACCCTTCAAACCTCAGGGCACCTTCCTGAGGAGTTCTGGAGCCTTCCAAGCTGACAGCAAGCAGCAAGGTAGAGCTGAACTGCAGCACAAGGCTCTCCTCCATTCCTGGAGCCAGGCACTGGGACCTGCCAACTTCCACACATTGTACTTCCACAGACTTCCACATGCTTTGCTACTGGAACTGGCAGTCAGGTGGGAAGGGTAGGATCAAGCCAGCACAGTACTTGAACACAGGCTCAGCACTGATACTCCAACACCCACCTTTATCCTGTGATCTTCCACGTCCTCCACACTGGCCACTCGGATGAAGGATGGCGTCCTCCTGTCCACTGCCTCCAGCTTCATGTTGACCAGGAAGCCGTGGGGTGGACGCTAGGGCCAGGAAGAACCCAGGTCAGTGGGGAGCAGGGCCATGCTTCCAGCTCCTGTGCCCCTTGGCAGCCTTCCCAGCAGTGAGCACTCCTCAAGCCCAGCTCCCAGCCCTGGCCTATCCCAAAAAGAGCCAGCCCAGCTCACAGTGGCAACAGGAGAGAGTGGCTACAGGCCTCCTAGATATGAGCTGTGTTTTAACAAGATGTGAAAGCTGTACCCAAGGGAGGAAGGTCTCCATGACACATTTTGGGGCTCTATCTTGCAGCCCCACTTGTCTGGACACAGCTGCTGTTGCTGCAGTTAAAGACAACAACTATCAAGCAAGCCTAAATGATTTCTCACCACCCAGCTCCTGTCTAGCTGAGGGCATGGTCATACTTCCCATTTTTCCAAGAACTGCTTGCACAGGATAGCCCTGACTTCTGAACTTGAGTGTAGATCTGAACCTCAGGCCTGTGGCAGGAGCATCCTCAATATTACTTGACTTTCATAAAGGTAAAGATCTGACAACAAAGAAAACCCAAATCTCTGCCTAGGCACAGTGCAGTAGATGAGGTGGCACTCACCACTTTAAAGGCCCAAGCTGGGACAGCAGATGCTCCAGTTTCCTTTAGGTACTTTTCCCAGGTGAAATTGTCAGGGTCAGGATAATCTAAAAGCAGGGAAAATGCAGAAGGCGAATGCTGTAGGAAGACAGCAAGTACCCCAGAACATCCTACTGCTTTTGAGCAACCAAGTCTGAGCCAGACACATGGGAACCTGAGAGACATCAAGAAATGCTACTGTTCTCTCAAGGACAATGAAATCCAGGGTACATGGAAGCAAAAGCATCTGGGCCTGGATAGACAGCTTGGGTCCTCCTTGTGTCTCCGCTCGGTACAAGACAACCACACAAGCACGTGTGCAGGAGCCTTGGCAGGAGCATGGCTGTGGCCTTGCTGAAGAAAACTGCCTGGGCCTGCAGACAAGCAAAGGCCCCAGGGTTCCCTGTGCCGCCCTGGAAGCGTGTCCCAGGGGAATGCACCACTGAGGGCTGTGCTCTCAGGCCACTTACTCACCTTGAGGAGGTGTGAGGGGTTTGCCGTGCTCCTGACACCATCCAACTGGGTGGATGTACGGACTGCTGGGGTCACACCTAGAACACAAACCCAAACTCTTACACAGGGCTGAGGTACCCGGCTCAGCACCGAGAGCATGGGCTGCAGGGATCCAGGGCAGGCCACCTGGTGCACCCCTAGGTCTGTACCACCAGCAAAACCCCCTGCATAAGTCAAGGTCTTCTACAGCATCCTTATGCCTGAGTGACTCAGGGAACCGCGGGCCCTACAAGGCAAGGACTAGGGCAAGAGAATGTCAGCTCAGAGGGGCAGGGCACGAACATGCCCTGGTTTCCAGCCCTGCAGCAGAGCTACCCAGGGAACAGCAACTGCTTGCTGCAAGTGGGGAGACAGGCCATGCCTTTTAGAGCCTGGAGTGGTGAGAGCTGAGGAATCTGGGAGGGCTTTTGTCCTGGTCATAGCTCCCCATAGGTCAGAGCACACTCGGGTACTGCTGCTTTGCAGGTCTGCCCTAAGACAGTGCAAGCAGCTGCCCCGCACCATGGAGTGAAGAGCAGCTGGGGACAGAAACTGCTGCAGCCCCAGGGCAAGAAGAGGTCAGAGGATTCCAGCCAAAGGAAAGAAGTTGCTCTCAGATCCCTGATTGTGCTAACTGGCCATTTTAATTGGCCTTAAGCAGCCTCAACTTTCCCACCCTGGTGACAATCCCCTGCCTACAGATGCAGAAGCTCCTTTAAGATAAGGCCTTCAGTCTCTGTATTGCTTTCTGCCTCCCAAGAGGATTTCAGGGTGAGCCCACAGCATGTGATCATGTCTGACTTTGCCCCACATTAACTAAAGGGCTATGGCAATGTCCCAGGAGGTCTGTCCCCCAGAAGGGTGACCCTCTGCTTCACTAGTGACCTATGCAGCAGCATGTTGGGATTGTCCCTCTTTCCCAAGCACCCCATCACTCTTGCTGAAGCAGTGGCAGCGTTTCCCAGCACTGGCACCCCAGGAGCCTCTGTGCACCTACCAGTAGTCGTAAGTATCATCCCAGTTGTCAAAGTGCACCAAAAAGCGATTGTCCACCACGTCAGTCACTGTGGCAACACAGATGAGGGAAGGATTCATGCGGTCAACAGCTTCCAGCTTCATGCCCACCTCGAAGCCTGGGGAAGCCTCGTGCTGGGGGGATAGAGGTTTCTTTCAGAGCTATGGTCCCAGCATCCTCCTCACCACTTCCCTTGCCCATTGCAAGGGGGCATCTGCCCAAACTCTTCCTGGCCTCCAAGCAGGACCAGGACCACTTAGGACCCCAGAAGAGCAGTGCTCTGCTGTGCAAGCAGGAAAAGAGGCAGAGGGTGAGTAACTCAGCTTAGCCAGACAAAGAAAGAAGAAAAGAAGTCTTCACACCCTCAGGATCTTCAATAAGCAGTAACCTCCCAGAGAAAAAAGTCTCCAACTTACATCAGCTCACAAAGGACTTGTAGTCATGAACCTCCAGTGTTAGCAGCAAGCAATGCCCTAGGCTTAACAGGAGGAGCTGGGATGGGACCTTTACCCTACCTTACCTTTATTTCTTGGGTCCAAAAATCTGTGCAAAACACTGCCTCACACACACTAGGGGGATTTTTGCAGCAATGAAGAGGAGGTTTAGACATAATAAATAACTTGGAGAGGCTGATTTATCAGTACGGCTAAGTTTCCTCTGCAGCTGACAAAGAAACCATTAGCATTTTGCACTCTGATATATTCCCACTTTCCTTGCCCAAGCTGCCATATGAAAAATAAAGGCAGAGACAGAAACAATGAAGACACAAAACAGAGACAAAAGAACTCTACTTAGAAAACGTTAACTGAGGGGTCTGGGGCAAAACAATTGTTGAGAGTAGTGGTTGCTCCTCCTCACCACTATATTTGCAACAGATTTAGCTGGCCTGGCTGAATCAGACCAATGCCAATTTTGGGCACACCAAACTAGTACCCAAGCTATAGATCCTCAGCAGCCAAATGTGCCCCATCACATTGAGCAATGCCAGCAGTACACTCTCTGGCCTCCCCACACTGTGGGCTTGAAAAGTGTTGGGTGGACAGAGGAAAGTCCAGCACTGGCAGACAGATTCTGCTCAGCTGGAGGGGAAGAAGTCACACCTGAACCTGGCAGGAAGGAGAAGTTGCTACTCACAGCATTTCGGACCATGAAGAGGTGCTTAGGAGCTGCCTGAGCCTTTGTTATCTTCAGGTAGTTTGTCCAGCTGAATTCTTCTTCCTTATAACCTACAACCCCTCAAGAAGAGAAACGAGAGCAGCAAGTTCACAGAGAGCACCCAAGTGGTCATGAGGCTGAGCCTGGTCATCCACAGCCAGCCCGCCCTCACCCTGCCTTGTCCTGCTGTGGGCAGCCCTGGGAAACCCCAAACCTGTGGCCCAATGTTTGATTCAGGAGGGGTGCTAGGAAATGTACAGTGGAAATCCAGAGCTCAGCTCCTCCCTGGAGAGCATCAGTCCCATCTGCCCCGGGGCACAGCTGCTGGCTCCAGCTTTGCCCCAGAATGGGAGCGAGCAGATCTTTAGCATGATGGGTGCCTGAAAGGTGGTCCTGTGGAACCCCCCCAGTACCGCAGCATCCCCTCATGGGCCCCATCTCCAGCTCTACATTTAGGGGCCCACTACTCATCCAACTTCTTCAACAACACCCACCAACTGAGACGTGCTAACTCCTTACCTTTTGGGGGCTGGAGTTTGTGCCCAGTCTCCTCAAACCAGCCAGCAGGGTGGATATCGGGGGAGTCAGCGTTCAGCCAGAAATCATGGCACTCCGAGTAGCCATCGAAGTGGAGGCGCATTCGGAAACCGCACACCTACCAAGAGGGAGGGCAGGAAAGGGAAAGGACCAATGAAACCTCCTGCTGTCCCTGGCTGAGCACTGCACGCACCTCTTCTCCTGTATATTATCTCAGCATATCATTTAGGGAAGCAAAGAGTCAATCATAAGCCAGTGCCCAAATTAGGAGGCACATGCCAGTCCCAAAACGTGTTCAGCATGGAAGAAGGCAAGTGTAAGGCCACCATATGCAAGCCCTAAGAAGGGAAGTTCAGGCTGGTGTGTAAATGCCATGGAGGGTCACCATGCTGTGTCCAGTAAGTGCAAGGATTACCTTTTCTGCACCTGGGGCAGATGCTCATGCAGGGATTTTGACTAAAGGACCCACAGGTGACTTACCTCAGCCACTGTCAGGATGAAGTACATAGATGGGTGCTGCGGGTCAATCCCTTCCAGCTTCATCCCCACTTTAAAGCCATTCTTGTGCTGGGAAGCTATTTGGTACTGGAAACAAAACAATTAAACTACAATGTAAGAAATGACACAGGTAGAACCATCCCAAGGAGCACCCATCAGGCTGCTGGGACCAAGAACTTGTGGGTCACGGGTTATGCTGCCATCCAAATTTTAACTCTTTTCCTCTAGAAAACCACATTCTTCCACCTCCTTGTGGGTTTGTCTCTTGCTACTGGCAGGGCGTCCCTGGGGAGACAGGGACATGGGTCTGGCTCCTCTTCTGCCCTGGCTATCAGAAGCCTGGGAGCAGGGGTGCAGAGCAGCAATGTGGCCTCAGGAGAGCTGACATGTGGCTTTGAGGAAAGGCTCCACCACCCTGCCAGAGCCAAAGGGGTGTCCTAGACAAACGTGGGGTGCTTGGGATGGGAGATGGCACCTGCTGGGGAGTGGGACCCAGGGCAATCAAAACTGGAGGCTGATTGGTCACCTACAGGTGAAGATGGGAGCTTGCTAATTGCTCAGAGTCCCACAAAACAGGGAAGCAAAGGAGAAGGAAGAGGGGTGGGAAAAAAAACAGGGAAAGAGAAGAGAAGATGAAAGAAGGAAAAAGACAGGAAAATCCCAACTCACATCCTGGAAGAGATTTAAAGGGGCAGCGACAGCTTTCTGCTCCTCCAAGTAGGACGCCCAAGACCAGCCTTCTTTCTTCTCCTCACTGGCACCTGAGCGCAGCACAAACGCACACACAAGAGGCGCTGCTGAGGGTCTGCTCCAGCCCCTGGCCCTGCCTGCCTCGGAGCAGTGTGCAGGGCAGGTCCTGCTGGGGCCACATCCTGCTCTCATGCACAGTCCTGCATCCCTGCAAAGCTCAGCACCATCCTACAGAGCCCCCTTCTCCAGCAAACCATAGAGGGACAGACCCAAGAGGCCCCCTCTAAAATAGGTCCCCATGACCCAAATGTCCTCTTTCACTCTAGTAAGGCACCTAAGGAGCCTGAGGGACAAGCCATTCTGTGCAAAGCATCAGGACACCTCTGCAACCAGTTCTCCTCCAGCCAGTCCATCTGACCATGGCACTGATGGATCTGGGATAGTCAGTAGGATCCATGCAGAGGTCTGGGAATCATTCCCAGCTGCAAGGGGCATGTGCCCAGTCAAACCAGCAGCAGGCTCACCTTCCACCACCACTCCAGAGGCAACAGCTCTGCTATCCTCTGCTCTGAGACAACCACCTGATTCCCCTTGGCATACCAAGGCCACACTGGTGCCCTAGAGATGCATTTACCTACCTAGTATTCATGAAAAGACAGCATCATCTCTATAGGCAAGAGCTGACCCTTCATTCCATTGATCCCTCTGGAAAGCTACAAAGGCCTTGCCTGAGGGACATGAGGCAATCCAAGTCTCCAGCCACTTTCTTTCCCTGCTTTGTAGCACCTGAAGGGACTCCAGGAGTGCTGTGCCTATCCCAGCACTGAGTAATTCACAGCTACAGGTCAGCCACGACAGACAACCTTGTGTAAGGCAGGCCAGAAACACAGGGGAAAACCCAACTCCTTCCTCCCTTGAGCTTAGGGGAAACAGGGGGGAAAAAATAGGAACTTGTGGGAGAAATTAAAGCTGAGCTTCACTGAGCAAGGATATTAACCCAGATGCTTTGCTTATACTTAAGAGTGACAAACATAGAATCATAGATTGGTTTGGGTTGAAAAGGACCTTAGGATCATTCAGTTCCAACCCCCTGCTGTGGGCAGGGACACCTCACACTAGACCATATTGTGCAAGGCTCTGTCCAACCTGGCCTTGAACACTGCCAAGAATGGAGCATTTACCACTTCTTTGGACAACCTGTGTCAGGGCCTCACCACCCTCACAGTGAAGAGCTTCTTCCTTATAGCTGACCTGAATTTCCCCTGTTTAAGCTTGAACCCATTGCCCCTTGTACATCCTCATTATTCTGTAGGACTTTGAAAAGAGTGACAGGCATGTTTGGGGAATCTGTAAATACAAGCTCTGTGCTTCTGCAGAATGACAAATACACCTGGAGACAGAGCCCACACAGACTCTGCTACACTGAGGCATCCAGGTGTGCATTTTGTTTGATGATGTAATTCTAACAGAAGAGAGAATGCTGAAATAACCAGGCTCAGCATTGCTTACTTGTATGCAGCAGTGAATGCTCATGCTCAGGACTCAGACTGCAGTGAAAAGGACCTGGCAAGTGAGTATGAAATCTCTTTTTAATAGAGGCTAACTCAGTGTAACATGAGGGGTTAACAACATCTGGCCCCTGCTACTGTCCCTACATTTGGCTACGGAGAGGAGTATGAAGCTGGAGCAGTTTCATTTTAAAATTACTTTGAATACGACCTTTCACTATTCACAGACAAAAGGTTTCCTATAAATGTTTCTTTTTAATATTTTCCCAATTTTTCTTCCCCATCATCCCATTGCACTGCAGGGATAAAACCAACCAAGCAAATGCTGCATCCTCAGCTTGTCTCCTTCCCCTCTGTGTCAACAGCTCTGCATCTGAGATCTCCTCTGATATGGCCCAGAAACAGATCCCCATGAGATGAGACAAGCCTTCAGCAGCACCACACCTACAGGAGCAGCTCCCAAACTTGTGAGCTCCCAATCACGTGAGGAAAGTTCCTCACAAGACCATCCAAAGAGGGGGTCAAAGCCAGATGTGGCTCAGTCACGTTATTGCTCAGGATAGTACCTCTTGCAACACAGTACCCATGAGCATGTGATAAATTCAGCTCCCAAGGGGAGGGACCAGAGAGCACTGTACAGTACGGCCCAATGCCTGAAGAAGACACAGCTGTATCTGCAAGGGTGCACCCTTCCCATGGAGAGAAAGACAGGAAAGGAGAGAAACGGAAAGAGACAGAAAGAGCAGGATCAAGCAAGCAGAGGAGCTTACAAGCCTTCAGGAACATGTTGCACTGGGTGCTTGACTCTGCTGGAGCACCAAAATGCTGTCCCAGACCCACAGATCCACAGCAGGACCCCACAGCTGTGGTGGGTTCACTGACCCCACTGCCCGCCCAGCCATGCATACCGTGCTGGCTCCCGTTCCAAGTGTCAGCCTCTGGGTTGCTGATGGCAGAGTCCTCAGTAGAGTTTTTCCTCTCTTCCTGCTTTTCTTCCTAGACATGAGAGCAGACAAAACAGAAACCCATCATGCTGGAGGTCTGCACACAGGTTTGTGCTGTGTGTTGTACCCTTAGACCAGTGCCAAAGGCCACACTGTGCATTTGCAACATCCACGATTTTACTGATGCTTGGCCCAGAAATGGCAGCCAAGAGGATGTGATGATGGGAGCCGATTTTCATGCTGACTGGTAGCAACCACACCTGGAGTGGATCTGCAGAGCTTCCCTGCCATGTCAAAGGCACTGTCCCTTCCCCAGGATACACATCACACAGACACACACTCTTACTTTAACACTTACTTTGGTGACCTAGACTCAAGAGAGTAGTTGAGCACTCTCTGTACCTACAGCCCAACCAGGACATGTCTAGCACTGCCCAACCCAAGGTGCTCGGCATGCCCAATAGCCGGCCAAGTGTCTAGAAGTTCTGATGATCCACACATTCAAGTCTTTTTGTCATTAACAGCCAAAAGGTTACCTCCTTCACATATAGCTAACATAGCACTGAAAGACATTTGATGAGAACTGTACACATGCAGTACACAGAGGGATGGCCCATGACCCACCCTTGACATCAGCATGTGTGCACACATACCCACCCTGCCCTCTTCCTACCATTTGCTCTGATTCGTATTCTTCCTCCGAAGGGCTCTGGTAATCCTTCCTCTTTCGTTTCTTCACTGGCTTGAGGATTTCAGTGGCATTGGTGCTGCTGGCAGAGTTTTCCACAATGACAGACCTTCATGGAGTAAGGGAGAGTAAACCACTACGGCATGGTGGCTATGGCTGGGTTCTTAGTAAGGGATTAGCTGATGGAGAATCCCTGTCACCCCACTTCTTACTCACACATGTTCCCATCCCTCCCGACTAATGTATGCACTCCTTTCAGCACACAAGTTGGCATGAGGTTAGAATCAGGGTACAGAACAGAATCATCCTCACACACATGGGTGTCAGAAACCTGAACTCAGGGATGGATCAGAAGTGATCTAGTTTTGTAGCAGGGCTCCAAGCTTCATCAGAGCCACAGAGAGATGCTGTAAAACAAGTCCCAGGAGTCACACTTTGGTAAGCAGTGGGCTGGAAACGCCTTTGTGATCCATGCTTCCCACTGCTACTCTGCTTGCAAGCACCCACTGCAGCAACCTACTGCTCAACCACATATACGTTTATGAGGCCACAAATTGAGCAGGAGAAAATCTGGCTTCTGTGTGCTCCCTGGTGTCCCTGGGGCAAGTCTTCACCCCCCTATATTGCAGCCAGGGCACTCTGCCTACAGGGAAGAGGGGAACAAGCAGGTTTTCGTCTTCATCCCTTGCTGGAGCATGTAGACCAGGGGAGGGAGAGCAGATGGATGGATATGGCTCAACATGGAGCAAACTCTCCTTCCTTTACCTCTCTTTAAACTGCTGGTGACAGTGCTCGCTGCAGAAGCCTCTGCCTTCCCGGGCTCCATCTGACACGTGCCTGCGGCCACAGGTATCACAGTGGCACATGCTTTCTGCTGTTGGAAGCTTGATCTGCTCTGGCGCATCTGAGTCGGAGAGAAGAGAAGCAGTGAGGCACAAAGTGCAGCAAAGGAAAGAGCAGGAAGCAAGAACATGTGCCTCACTCAGGGCCTACACCAGCCAGCACCTGCTGAATGATGGTACCCACCCCAGAAGTGCCACCCTTACCCTGAGCCACAGTAGGATTGTCCCTGCCGGTGGGTGCCACCTCTGAGTCCCCATCTTTCTCTGTGTGACCCTCCTTTACAGCTTCCACTGGAGGCATCTTATCAGCACTCACCACCTTCAGTGTCCCGTACTCATTAATTCGGAACTATATCATTGAACCGAAAAACAAGGAAGAATAATTAACAAGGAGGATAGAAATGCAATTTGATAGCTACTGGGTACATGTGAGCTCTGAGAATAAGAGGGACATGGTTGAGTCAGTAGTGCCTCCAATAGCAGGACAGCTCTTAGATGATCTTTAAGGTCCCTTCCAACCCAAACCATTCCTTGATTCTATAGTAGAGGCAGGCACAGCACTAAAGTCTCCTATCCTGCTGCCCCTCCCTGCAGTCTGTGCTGGCCTCTGAGAGCCAACTCCATGGCACAGCTTGGAAAGGAAAGATGCCCTGCACAGCAAGTAGCAGTCCTCTGACTCCCTGTGAAGGACAGACCTGCTGCAGCACCCCAGGTACCATGTATTTGCTTTCTCTGCTAAGGTCACAAGATGTCAGGGGCATAGTGATGGGGCACAAGAGCCTCAAAGAGCCAGAACAGCCAAGGGTTCCACCAGCTGGCTGGTGGTCCCTGCCTGCATAAGCTGGGGACTGTCACTTACAAAAGCAAGCAGCTGAGGGAATTGGTGAGGGAGGACAAACACAGTGGCCCAGGGCTACACTTACCCGCAGGTTACTCCCAGGCAAAGTAGCCACCCCATCTTTCCACTCCAGCACACGGACTGTGCTGCAGGTCTGCACCCCGCTGATCTGGGGAATGACAGTAGCTGTGATGGGCTCGCTCCCTGCTCCCCTCTCTGGCCTCTCGGCCCCTGTGCTTCTCTGTGGTTCCCGGGGGAATCGCTGGATTTCTAAGGTGCTCGTGGGAAGGCTGATGGCAGTGGCATTTGCTTGAGAAGAGAAGAAAGGCAACAAACAACCAGAGGCTTACACAGAACACAGCAAGTGTCAGATTCTGCACCCAGGATGAGGTAATCCTGGTTATATGTACACACTGGGGGAAGGGAGGAGGAGAGCAGCCCTATGGAAAGAGATCTGGGGGTCTAGGGTGATGGCAAGTTGAACAGGAGTCAGCAGTGTGCCCTGGCAGACCAAAGAGCCATGCTCTGGGTGCACCAGCACAGCACCACAAGCAGGTCTGGGGAGGTGACTGTCCCACTCTGCACAGCACTGGTGTGGCCCCAGCTCAAGTCCCGTGTGCAGGTTTGGGTCCTCTGCAGAAGAAGGACATCAAACTACTGGAGTGTGTCCAGAGGAGGTGACCAAGGTCTTGAGGACAAGACTTAGGAAGTGTGGCTGAGGTCACTTGGCTTGGAGATGGAAGGCTGAGGGGAGGCCTCATCACAATCTACACCCCTCTCACAGGAGGCAGCACAGGGAGGTGCTGATCTCCTCTCTCTGGTGGCCAGCAATAAGACATGAAGAAATGGAATGAAGCTGCAACAGAGGAAACTCAGGTTGGACATAAGGAAAAGATTCTTCACTGGGAAGGTGGTCAGTCCTAGAGCAGTGGTCATGGCACCAAGCCTGTCACAGCTCAAGGAGTGTCTGGATGATGCTCTCAGTCCTATGGTTCAGTTTTAGGTAATCCTGCAGGGAGCAGGGAGTTGGACTCAGTGATCCTTAAGGGCCCCTTCCAGCTTGAGATATTCTACAATTGTGTGATAATGCAGCAACCTAGGAGCCCACATGCCTTGCAGAGCAGGCACACAGCCCACTGTGCTGCACTGTCAGAGGGCCCCAGACAGCAGGGGTTTGGTTTAAAACTCAAGAGGTTTTGATCAGCCAAGTGACATGGGATAGGCACTGAGAACCTCTAAAATGGCAACAGCAACAAGGCTTTACCTCACAGGGTTTGGGAGGAGGACACATATACAAGGAGTGTGAGGTTATCAGTGTGGGCAGAGAAGGCTGGGGAGGCCCCAGTTAGGACAAGTCTGCATACCTGGTATGATGAAGGCAGTCGTTGGCAGGTGGGTGCTCTGCACAGTGCTCTCGGTGGTGACCACATGGACACTGACCTCCCCAGCAGTATTCCCCTTCGTGCTTCTCACAATCTCCATCTCTGCTCTGCTGTCCATCACCTTGCCAGGGCACAGAGCGAGACACTGTAAGACAGCAAGACAGAAATCAAGTTGGGTACAAGTACAAACCTGACAAAGGAGTGAGAAAGAGACTCTGGAGGATGGTCCCCTCCCTTTCAACCATCTCCCAACATAAACCCCTGTAGGACATGTCAAAGGCCTATTGAATCCAACAAAGAAAAGCCCCTATTATGAGATCCCAGCTCAGAGCCTGCAAATGCCAAGGGGTTTTTCTTACCTGGCACCACCATAGGATGCTCTGAGCACAGCAGGTCCACCACAAGCTATGGATGCTCCTGGCTCCCACTGATGTAGGCTGTGACAGAGAGTTAGCAAGTCCTACCCTGGAGCAGACACAGGCTCCTCCAGTTCCCCTTCCAGTTCTCCTGCTGGGCAGTCACCCTTGGTCTTCTAACTGGCTGTAGGAGAAGAATTTCACAAGTGGCAGGAATTAATCAGGGGGTGGAGGGAACATGAAGTCCATTGGATGCAGCTGAGTTTCTCACAGGACTGGTGATGTTCAACCCATTTAGCCATGAATTTCAAGAAGTAGGCATGGTCCTGAGGGTACTACTAGGCTTTACTGGCCCTGACCAACCTCTCCTGGACCCCCCACCCATGACCCACCCCATCAGCCCCACCATAACCTGTCTACGCTGTACTGCAGCAGTGCTGGTCTCCAGCTGCTGCCTGGACCTAACCTGCTGGCTGGCATCCTGGTTTGATCTCAGACCTTGCCTGGTGACCTGAGCTCTAGCTGGACCTTGCCACAGTGACCTTGCCATCTGCCTTGCTCAGTTCCCTGTCCCTGGGGCAGCAGCTGGCCTCTGTTGTGGCCCAGCAGGCAGCAATTCCAGTAACACCATACAGAGACTGAAGAATGTGGGAAGCGACAGATTTAATAACCCATTTACAGCTAATACCCCGAAGCACAGCACTGCTGATCTTCCAATTTTACTAGTTTATCCCCATCCCTTGAGCCAAGGCCCATCAGGCCCTGCTGCTCCTCCACTGCACACCAGAATCCTTTCTTTCTTTCCCACAAGAAAACCTTACTCTGCTCCTCCTTTTAGTTGTTCTGTCCATGTCCAAGCATGCAACATCAGGGCTGCTCTATTAGCACTGCTGAAACTCAACAAGATGAATTAGGGAAAGATGAAGAGTGGGACAGATGCTAACTAAAAGCCCCTGATCTAAGTTGTTTAGTTTCTTTTGTCTTTCAATTAAAGCCACACAATAACATTCATAAAATTATACGACAAACCACCATTTCAAAGGCAGAAGATGACAGCAGCTCAGAGGAACGCACACAGTAAGACAGCAAGAATCACCCCGTAACAATGGTGCCTACACCAGGATGTTGAAAAGAACCGAAGGAACTCACCCAGCTGGACACCAGACTCCAATTAAAAGCCAAAAATGAATTTGGCAGCCAACCTGTATTGGTGCTTCCTAATTCCCACCAGCAACCTATTTGCTTTCTTAGGCACTTAAACCAGATATTTATCCTTGATTCATCACTGGGGTTAAATGTTTCAGGGACAACTCCTTGTTTCGTGTGAGCTGTTGATGCTTTTTTATGTATTTATTTAAGCAGAACTTGGGACTGGAAATGCCTAGAAAAAGAAGAGAAATAACCAGATCCAGTGCTCAAGCTGGATGATACCCAAACTCATCTCTCTACAGCAGTCTATGATGTTGGCCAACACCCAACACCAGCACCCTGCACCAGCGGCTTGGAAAGCAAGCATTTTACACACAAGCCTCCAACTCTGCTGCAGTCTCACAAAACCACAGCAAAGCCAGGGAATGATCTGCTGTTTGGAAAGAGGAGGGATACATGGTGCAACAGGCCATAGAGGAGCATGGAGAAAAGTAGCTCCCAGCATACATATGCTGTACAGTCCCATCAGCACTTTTATAAAGGACAGCCTGGTCAACATATATGCTTCTTTTCATCACAAAACTGGCTTAAAATAACTGTACTTCAAACAATATTAATATGTTTATTGGCTTTGTGGCTTCTCAGATTTTTAAGTATTCCTGAAGTCTGCACTGGAGCCACACATCTGGAAAGCTAAAGCTTGACAGAAAAAGACTCAGAGGTCCTGGTGGACACCACATTGAACATAAGCCAGCAATCTGCCCTTGCAGCAAAAGAGGTGAATAGTGTCCTGGGCTGCCTTACAGAGGATAGAGGGATCCTTCCCTCTGCCCAGCACTGGTGAGGCCATCCCTGGAGTGCTGAGTGGAGCACCCTCTCCATAGCCTGGGCTGTTTGTTGTGCCCTGGGCTGGATTAACACTCTCCATGCTACAGGACCCCTTCAAGCACTGCAGCGGGGTCATTTTCAGGCTGCAGGTCAACACGTGTTTGAGAAACATCAGAAGGAACATGGTCAAGCGTCCACTGTTAAAGGGACTTCCAAGCTCTGTGTGTCTCAGAGAGGATCCCTTGGGAAATCAAGGGATGAACAGATCCATCCCCTGTGTCTGACAGAACCCACTGGGTCATGCCTGGGCAGCGCCTCACCCTACACACGCCCAAACCGGGACCAGTGCCGAACTCGTCCAGGGGAGATAAGCACCTGCCCGTCTCTAGTGTCTGCTGAGATAGCCCCCGGCTGGGCGTAGTGGCTTGGCTTGACAAAATACACTTGGCTGCACCTAAATGTTTCACTCCTGAATGACCGGCTACAGCGGGGCCGCCGGCAGAGCACAGGCTCCCGCCTCCAGGGCCCTCACCCCAGCCCCCGCCGCGGCCCGCCCGCCCGGCACCGTCCCCCCGCCGATCCGCTCCGCTCCGCCCCGCTCGGCTCGGCCCGGCCCGGGCCGCGCCGCCCGCCCGCCCCGGGTGTCTCCCGGTGAAAGGCGGCCATGGTGGAGCGTCCCTCCCCCGCCGGGCCCGGGGCCGCCCCGCTGCGGGGGGCGGCGCGGAGCGGGCCCGGCCCCGCCGCCCCGGGCCCCAGCACCCGCTCACCCAGCCCGGGCCCCGCCTGTGGGGCAGATCCAAGGCTGCGAGGCCGGGCGGGGAAGGCGCCGCGCTCCTTACCTCGGCGGCGGGGCCCGGCCAGGCCGCTGCTCCCAGCCGCAGCCGGGGCTGCCCGGCCCGGTGCGCGCTGCGCAGAGCCGCGTGCGGGCGCGCCCGCACCGCACGGCCCGGCCCGGTGCTGGCGGGGGCTGCGAGCGGGGCCGCACCGGGCGGGCCGGGGGATTGGGGGGGGGGGGGAAATTGGGGGGGGGGGCGAGGGGGGGAAGGGGGGGGGGAGAAGCCGGCGGCGGGAGGGGCCGTGCGGGAACGCGCGCGGGTGCGCGGGGAGGGGGCGGCAGCCGGGCCGGTTGGAACGCATGCACTTAATGAGCGCGTCGCCATGGCAACCCGCGCATTCCGCCACGCCGCAGTGCCGGGGCCTAATCCCGCCGCAGGATTTCGGGGAGACGGGGAAGGGATTTGGGGGGGTGTGGGGGGGGTGTTGCCATGGCAACGTCCGGCCCGAGGATACCCCCCCCCCGTAACCCCAGGCCGCCCCCTGCTCGTTCCGTGCTGGGTGGCCTCGAAGTGGCGCTGGGGGCCTGGGGGTGAGTGTTGGGCCCAGCGGCGCTGGGAGGAGGCCGGAGCGCGGGGCTCCGCTGGTTTTGTCTCCTGGGTTAGAGGGGACGAGCTTGGGAGGCAGAAGCTGCTTGAGTCACTTGGAAAGTCACGAAGAGAGACCTGACCCCCGCCATCGCTGCGGTAGGACGTGCTCTCCTCAGCAGCCAAGACCCCCCAGTGCTGCAGGCCTTGCCTGAGGTAGGTATGGGCTGCCCGAAGCCTCTCCCGTGCAGCACTGAAAAATGACTGGAGAACATTAACACGGAATCCCCAGATCACTGGGAAGCAAAAGGATCCCTCAAACTAGCTCTCGGGGGAAAGTGCAGGGCAAGAGGAGTGCTTCCTAAGTGCTCAAAGTGCTCAAAACCCAGCGTACCTGCACACCCATTAATATTTGATGGCCACACAAATGTGCCTTTCGGATGCATATTCTGCTTATCCACAGAAGGTGAGAGTGGAAGGAACCAAGACTGGAAGCACGAGGACCAAAGAATGCACAAGAAGCTGCCAAGAACAGCACCTGATGTGCGTTGGACCAGCCAGGGAGAAGCAGGAACCTCCCAGCTGAACAGCTCAACTGCAGTGAGCTCTGGCTGGGCCACATCCAGGGCCCAGATGGTTCTTGGTCACCCTGTGGAGTGCAGGAACAAGCTCTTTGTTTCTAACATGAGTATCTGTCAAGTTTGATCCACCTTGAGTTTTGTGGTCTGCAATGTTTAATGCATTAAGAAAAGTGAAGTCACAGACTGATGAAGCAATTACATCCTGAAAATCAGGAAGGAAGTAACAGGGGTTTCCTTTACTGCCACTGCCCTCAAATAAAACTTCAGTGGCACAGGATAGAACAAGGTTTTCTCATATAAAGCCCTTTCTGCTACAGTGGGACCAGAATCGGGAATCAGGAGCAGAGTGAAACTCAGGCACTTGAAAAGCAACTGAGCATTCACCTTTTCCCATCATTTTTCTGTTCCTGGCTATGCTTGCCATGAAAAAAAAAAAAGCATGAATTCAGAATGATAAATTCCTGGAAAACAGCTACTTGAGGCAAAAGAGGAGGCATCGCTGGCTTCCCAGTGAGCTCTCTGGATGCTGTAATACCAGAGTATTTCTCCCTCCTGTGCCTCAGCTTCCATTTCCACAACCTCTGTTATAAAACATCTGAACTTACACATACAAGCTGGAGGACGGGAGGCTGGGAAGCGGCCATGCAGAAAGAAATCTGGGTGTCTGGGTTAATGCCAAATTTAACCGGAGTCAGCAGTGTGCCCTGCAGCACAACGGGCCAGATGTGTCCTGGGTGCACGAGCACAGCACCATGAGCAGGTCGAGGGAGGTGAATGTCCCACTCTGCAGGGCACTGGTGCAGCCCCACCTTGAGTCCTGTGCGCAGACATCTTCCTGTTGCTGCTACTTTGTCTGCAGTATGGATACAGCTGCTGTGGTCCATTCCTTCTCGCATAGGAGCGCAGCCAGGTTCATCCAACTTAGATACATTATTGACAGATGTTGCCAAAAGGGTGCAAATTTATAAGCTACCTCAGAGCAGTTTATTTCAATTATTTATTGGATTATGAAACAACTGAAACCTTCCCTTGACATCTACATACACATTTAGCAAAAAAGTAATGGAGAGAGAAGCTCTGAGAGAGTTAAGATCCCACATTCTGCTATTTGCTTCTTTCCACCAAACCACAAAACAAAGCATGGGAGGAAAGGGCTGATCACAATGTTAACAGATACCATTATGCTCCCAAGAAGAGATAAAGTTCTTGAACTGTTAATAGCTGCCACTATGCAAAACAGTATCTATTTTAGTTTTGCTTCTCACCTTCTGAAGTAAGGCATTCCTATTCATGTTAAATAGACATTACAAAGCACTCAAGAAACACAGCCAGGATCTGCTAATCCCATTGCAGGAACTTCATCTTCTAATCAACAACATTTGAACTATTCATCTTTCAAATGATCACAGCATTTTGCATCATCTCTCAAGGACATTCTGAATGTCCATTCAGCTTAATTTTCAGTATTGCTAAGCTCCTGAGCCAAATTCCCAGGTTTTGCTCTTCATGTCATTGCTCTGTGGATGTTGCTATATTAACCTGAACCAGATTGGGAACTGGGAACAGTTCAAGGTTGTCCATATGAGTAATAAATCCAGCAGCAATGTTTTAAATGCCCCTCCCCATGGCTCATGCAGAGAATTACAAGCTTGTTTGGGATGGAGTCATCTCCTAGTTGTGAATTAACTCTGAAACTGCAAAAGAGTTAAACAATGCTTTACGTAGGAAAAAGGAGTGTCACCTGTTCCAGCCACTTACAGTTTCACTCTGAGCACAGTAATACTGCTGGGTGAGATACTTGTTTTGGTGTACATCAACCACAAATCCGTGCTCTTCCAGCTTACAGCAAGCCACTGCGCTGTACCTGCTTTCTTAGTGATATAAACAGCCATTTCAAAGGGTATATTTGGTGATAGCACATCCTAAATCCTTTTGTTCCTAGATGTAAAGGCTGAAGTGAACCTTTCAGGGCCTTGTCATCCACAAAGAAGGGAGCACCTCTATTCTCTGCCCCTTCCACTGCCTTTGGGGACAGTCAAATTACCTTCCTTGCCACTCAGATGCTCACTCAGCACCACCAAACCATACAGCACTACCTTATTTCATGTTTCAGGGCCGGAATCAGACACCTACCTACATCAGGAACATCCTATTTCACAGCTTGCTTCCTCACCTGGCACATCAGGAGCCCTCCCTCAAAGCACTGAGCTGGAAGCAAAAGCCTGGAAGAAAAAACCCTTTTGGGCAGGGAAAAAGAACTCTCTTTTATGACCTGACACAAGCAGTCAAGGAGACGAAGTTCAAAGCACACAAGCAGTCATCCAGAAGTGCCAAGCAAGAGTGAATTTGGTTTAGTACTAGTACAAGGGGCACGGAAGGTTTTGGATTCATGTCTTTGGTGCTGGGTAGCTTCACGAAGAGCACTCTGACTCGCCACATATGTGAAATAGAAACACTTTCCTACTATCTGCCAGAGTTTGGGAGAGACAGTGAAGCAGAAAAGGGTTTTCACCATCTAACCTTGAAGCAGCTATATCACAGGAGTCACTAATGTAAGAAGAGATCTTGCACTTACATCAAACACCAAAATACAGGAAAAATAGGTATTTTTCAAATATAGGAAAAGGCTAGGAACAGCCTCCAAATACAGCCCCAGATCCTAAGCCTCCTCTAACAGGAACGTTGATTTCTCCTTCGCAATTTGCTGTAGGACATGAACGTTTTAAGTCAATCCTGCACTCCGCAGCTGATAAGGCATATTTATATTTAGCCTTTTTAAGAACTTTAATTGGTTATAGCAAATGCAGAATAGTCAGGATGCCCAGTGCTTCAGCACACCCTGAAAAGATGGCTCCACATTTTGTAACCAAACAAGATCAATGCCAGATGGTTTTGCCATCAGCTACTGCTACAGACCAAAGCAAGACAAAACTGCTGCAACACACAGCAAGCATGGGAGCTATATTCTTTTACTCTTCCATGCAGACATTTATCCAAACCACACTCCCATAATACATGTAAGAGATCTCAAGAATAACCATACTTGTGATCGCACACCCCAGACCCAGACTTCCACTCCTACAAGAAGTGGTGCTGACAGAGTGAGAGGCATTCCAGTGTGTGGGTTTTACTGGTTGTCACAAGCCTTGCACTTAACTGCACTGAGTCAGTACCTGGCACTACTGAAATCCTACCAACTTTCCAGAGGAAGCAAATCCAGAATGGTGCAAGTCATGCCAGGGAATTCCTGCTTCATTTGCACAGCAGCCAAGGGAGACATAGTATGTGGCTCCACTAGAAGAAATCCTTGGTATTTAAAGGAAGTACAGGCAAGTCAGTTAAATCCAATCATGGGCCTTCCTGTAATTCATGAATAAAGATGACTCCAGACATAACTCGTCATAACCACCTCATTTCAGTAAGCTAATACAGCTGGTACAAGCCACTGTTCTGTATCGTTACCCGAGACTGGGGTGCTACCAGCCAAGGCCTTCTCATATGCTGGCACTGAAGGCCGATTTTAGGAACAAGCCATTACCAGTATCTATAAGCATGTGCAAAAAGTAGTTGTTACCATTGTGTTTTATTACCACAACAATACAGAGATACTGAGAACAGGCACATAATCCCTTTTAATCTACCGAGCTCAGTTCATGTTCTGAGTGCCACATGTATTGTAGTGATGAGCCCCAGAAACAAATCAGAGGAGCAGCTCTCCATGGAGTGTGGCATACTCCATCACCAGCATAAATAAAATCAAGAGACATAATGTTTTTTTTTTGCCAAGTTTAAGGGATAGCAGTATTTCCACAAGTGTAGCTTAGGGCTGTAAACCTGTATTTAACTATTATTGTGGTCCGACTTGTGCAGAATAGTCCCCAGTACTCCTTCATACCTGAAATCCAATGCAGAGGAGGCATTACCTGCACTGATCAGAACTGCAGCATTGATTTATTCCAGTCATTATGCTAAAATACACCTTAACCAGCTTCAATAAAATAAGAATCACTTGTCACAAATTTAAGTAAACACAGGGGTCACCTCATTCCAGGTGCAGGAACTTCAAGCAGTAATGCCCTGTGGCTTTAGTCATGACAAACACCTGCAAGACTCCATAGTTGTATAACAATCATGGGGAAGCTTGGCAGCTCAAGATTTCCATGTGTGGGATAGAAACAACAAGGAGAAGTGTACAGTAAACCAGCACCAGTAACTGGGCTGATAGCAACACAAACCATGTAATCACAGCCATTCAGATTACATCAGGGATGTGAGATTATCAGGCAAAACTAAATTTGCTTATCCTGGGATCCCTCCTCATGCTACCACAGCTACTTACACACAGCAGGCAAAGGCTCCAGCTTTCTAGATACCATCAGGAAATGTTTAAGAAACAGAATTAATTCTCAAGAGAACTCATTGCATTGTGAAGCAATTCCAGGAAAGAAAAGCCAGCAGTCACATTTGAACACGCATTCGATGTGCTCCTTGTGCCTGGTGCAATTCATCTACACAGATGGGCAAAATTCTGAGCAGTCAGGGGTGCTGCTTCCACATCCAGTCACACTCCACGGAAGGACAATGTGTTAGGCCAAAGGGTGCTTGGCTGGCTAGCTGGTCTCAAGCACAAAACCAAGTGCATTTCCAGAGCTCCCAAGTCTCTTACTAAAACAAAGAAGTTACTCCAGCAAAAGAGGTAAGTAGGATAAACTGTCATTTCCCCAGCATGAGGCAGAAAAAGAATCCCATTACACTGCAATAAACACAAGAGTTTGAGTCACCGATTTAATTTTATACAAGTCAAACTACACGTTGTATAAAGAGTACAAGGCAGTTCTAATGTTCGCTATTGCATGTTACAAAAATCAATTTAGCTAGAAAGGGGATTTTTTTTGATGAGTCCTATTCCACAATTTGAGTTGGCAACTGTGGTTCAGCAAAGCCTTTGTTAAGACTAGAACTCTAGCTCAAAGACTACATTTCCCATAAAAGTTCAGACTTACACACAATAGGATTATAGTTCTCATCTGAAGCAAAAACGTTAACATAAATGAGTCAAAAAGGAGGGAAGACAGTGTTATTTTAGCTAGTTTTCATATCCAATAGTTATTTAGAGGCTGACAAACCATATGACATACTAGTGACTTGGACTACATCCAAGAGACACATGAGTGTCTGACAACAGTGACACTGACACTCAAGGGAAAAAAAAAAAGTCAGAAAGCTTTCCTTCTTTCAAGTAGGAAACACAGGGGGGTTCAGCAATACTGTATGATACAGGTTCCAGAGTACCTTTATTACCTTTAATACAGTCACAGTATTGGGGTGGGGGAATGTTCTTTTGGCAAGTTAAGATACAACAAACACGCTCCAACTTGGGTTTATTGCTCATCTAAAATCTTCCCAGTATTGTTACCGGTTTATGTAGTTTGCAGCCTGCTTCCACAACTTAAGCTGAAACAGAATTCTCTGAGCTGACCAGCAAGGCAATCCTGCCCTTGGCAGCAAGCTGGAACCTATAAGCTAATGATATTCATAGTTCTAAGACCATGAAGCAAGGAGAAAAAAAAAAAAAGAAAAAATAATGATAGTTTAAAAAAAGCCCAGATTTAAGCCTGTTTATATTCAGTTTATTTTTCTTTATAAAAAACCACTCTACATTTAAGAGTAGTTAAGTTACTCCTGTGGAAATGCTATAAAATCAAAGTTTTAGCTGAATTTCTACAAAAGGGGGAGTTTTAGTGCTTTATACCACCATCCAAGCTCTTAATTTCCAATCTGGGACACAAATTAAACCTTTATGCCTCAACTTAGTTCTTAGGCCATTTGCTCCTGCAAGAGAAAAAAAAATCCCAACCTCTCAAGTACTAACATAACACTAATGGCCTGACAAGTAGGAAAGTGTTCCATAATAGTGTGCAATGTAAGAGGAGAGTTCTAGTCTTAATCTCTTGAACTAGATCTTGATCGTGAGCGAGATTTTGAACGAGATCTGGAGCGGGACCTCGATGCAGCTCTTTTGGGTGGTGACTCTGAACGAGCCTTGGCAGATGGCTGCTGCTGCGGAGAATTGGAACGAGACCTACTCCTTGACCTGGACTTAGACTTAGCATCTCCTTTACCATTTTCTTTGGGAGATCGAGACCTGGACCTGGATCTGGATCGAGACTTCTCAGACTTCTCCTTGGATCTGCTGTGAGAGCGTGAACCCCTGTCAGACTTGGGTTTTGATTTGCTCTTTGATCTAGACTTCCTGCTTTTAGATCTGGAACGTGAGCGGTCTTTGCTTCGTGACCTGGATTTAGAGCTTTCAAAAAGAGACAAAGTTTATTCTACATGAACTGAAGTGTACTTACAGCAGTTGGCAGTATCTATCAATGTATAAGCAGCAATTCCTGTACTAACAGAAAACGAGGGATCAACTCACCGAGAACGGCTTTTGGAGACACTACGGGACCTGCTGCGGCTGCTCCTACTTCTACGACTTCTGCTTCTAGACCGTCGTCTAGAACGTGACCTAGAAACATGGAACATGTAATTTATTCCTCATTCCTTGCCTAGTGTGCTCTGCTATCTAACACAGAAAGGCTGCCCAGGAACTTCTAATCAAGTATGGCCACATCAAGATGTACTATCAACACATCTGGATCTGATACACTGTCAATTAATTGCATCTGATGCTTTACATGTGAAAAACTCTCAAACCTGTCTTTACTGTATGTAGAGTAACTCCTTCTACATTCTCAGGCATCATCCTCTTCCTAAATCAGCTGAAGGCCACTCCCGCCTGTAGGGCTACCCAGACCCATTTTTAGCCGGAGTAACTTGATACATAAACTGACTTGTCCCAGAAGTTACCTTGACCTGCTGCCAGAGTATGATCGCCTATGGCTTGACCGTGGCTTGTCTTCAACCAGCCTGATCTTCCTCCCATTTATCTCTGTGCCATCCAGTTTGTCCAGAGCACGCTTCATGTCAGAGTAGGATCGGAACTCAATCACTCCTTCATTTGTACGCTCTTTGTGAGCATCTGCATAGGTTACCTCACCAGCTTGCCTCATGAAATCCTGCAAAGAGTAGATGAAGAGTTGCATAACCATTCGCCACACTCTTCACAAATACATGAGCTTAAGACAAGTCTCATCAAACACAGAAGCACTAATTACATGTAAAT